TCTGGAGATAGTCTTGGAAACAGCTCTTCCATGTATTTGTCACAGCAAGTGCCAGCTTAGGGCGAGGGTAGTGGATGTCCTTTATGTACCCCACAGTAGGCTGGAAAGGGATGCTACTTGTTTACAAGCCTTGTTTAAATCTGCCCAAGGGTGGACCCCAGGTTTTCTAGTATCAGGAGTTGGTTCCTCAGAGAGAAGGACCTGTGTCTGTGCATGGCAGGAGGTTGGGCGTTTGAGACACATGGTCTCAGGGTCCTTCCTTAGCTGGCGCTCTTGCCACTATCTTCATCTGCCTCCATTCTGACTGAACAAAACTAGGCTTTGTTGTGGTGGGCTTTACCCTAACCATAAATGCTTATCTGAAAGCCCAAGGGGGGTCGAACAGTTGTATGAATGGTGTTGAGATAGCACTAGCCTGAGGCCACAGCTCCAAAGGGCAGGACCTAAGGATGGGTGGGAGTCTGATCAGTCCAGGAAAATTCACCCTGAAGGAGGGGAAGGGCAGAAATGGTTCGTGGAGTGATTGTGCCCCAAAGGTCAGGAACAACACCTGATACCCCAGCAGAGTCTGGTATATAGTAGTCACTCAGTAAAGACTTTTTGAACGTCAATGCTGGGAAAACCCTCAGAGAGATTTAGGCCTGCCTTTTCCCTAGTGAGTCAGCTGGGGAGAGTTGTGTGCTGAGTCACCTGTCTGGAGACTGACAGTAGCCATAAACATGGTGTTAATGGTCCGGATCACCCTGACTTATTGAAACTTGTTTTCCTGGTGTTTCCCCAACCTATTTGCCCACAGAAGTTTCTCATGAATTGCTTATTCATATATCATCTGAGGAATGGAGTTTTGGAAATACAGATCTAGCTTAACCTCATCATTGTAAGAAAAATTTAGTGGAGGTCCAAAGAAGGAAGCAACTTGCCTAAATCACACAGCACGCTAGGGGTAGAGTGGGACAGTGTTATTAGGTATTTGTACTCTCGAGTCCTGGTATGGAGATGTAGGACAAGCATTGGACTGCAAAACTGCAAGGTCAACAGTTCAAACCCACCAACTGCTCCTTGGAAACCCTCTACAGGGTTGTTGTGAGTCGGACTCGACTCAGCTCGACGGCACTTAACAACAACAATGCTTCAGACCCCAAAACACAAACTAAAACCCAACTGTTGTTGTTGTTGTTATGTGCCGTGGAGTCGGAACCGACTCATAGCGACCCTGTACAGCTGCTCTTAAGTCTATTCTGACTCATCGCTACCCCAGTGTTTCGGAGTAAAATTGCCCTCCCCAGGATTTTTAACGGCTGCAGATCACCAGGCTTTTCTTCTGAGGTGAAGCTAAGTGGATTCAAGCCACCAACCATTGGGTTAGTAGGCAAGTATCACCTTTTATTGGTAGGTGCCGTCAAGTCAGGCTCTGACTCGTAGGATTCCATTAATGGCAGAATAGAATTGCTCCATAGGCTTTTTCTGGGCTATGATCTTTATTGGAGCAAATTGCCTGGTCTTTCTCCTGTGGAGGTGCTTGCTGGGTAGTTTCAAACCTCCAACTTTTCAGTTAGCAGCCAGCTGAGCACTTAAATGTTGTGCTACCAGGCCTCCTTCTACACCACTTTGTTAAGTGCTGTCGAGTTGGTTCCAATTCATTGTGACCCTGTACAGGGTTTCTGAGGCTATAAATCTTTATAGGAGCAGAAAGTCTCATCTTTCTCTTGCAGAGTGGCTAGTGGATTTGAACTGCTGATCTGAGGTTAGCAGCCCAACACGTAACCCACTATGCTACCAGGGCTCTGTTTCTACTACCTTGTTGTTGTTGTTCTTAAGGGCCATCAAGTCTATTCTGACTCATAATGATCCTGTACGGGATTTCTGAGTAGCAGCTTGTAGGTTTGAACTGCTGACCTCGTGGTTTGCAGTCTAGTGCTTATCCTACAGTGCCACCAAGGACTCCTAATTCTTCAGACAGTGTATGGCATAAACGTCCTTTTGCATTATCTAGAAAGTGAGGACTGGTTTAACAAATTAATCCCTATTAATTCAATTTAAGCCAGATTGCAGGATATGCTTCACCTACTGAAAATCTTTGGAACCACTTTAGTGTCAATGCAGGTGTTAATGACCTACAGTTCTTATCTTTTAATTTCCAGGAACCCTGGTAATGTAGTGGTTCCAGTGTTCCGCTGCTAACCAAAAAGTTTTTGGTTCAAGCCCATCAGTGACTTCACAGAACAAAGATGTGGCAATCTGCTTCCATAAAGATTTACAGCCTTGGGAAGCCTTTGGAATAGTTCTCCTATAGGGTCACTATGAGTCAGAATACACTCAACCTCAACCATTAGTTCTCTGCTTAGCAATCCTGGTAGCTGATTCTTTCTGAGGCTGTGTGTCATCTCAATACAAACAAACAAGAAGTCTCTTGCCCACACATCCCTCCAAAAGCCCTTGGGTTGTTTAAAATCCATGAAAATTTGTGTCCCTGCACTGTAAGCTGGTGGGCAGTCCAGTCAGGAGTGTCTTGATCAGCACTGTGCTTGCGCATCAGACCGGATGCCCGGGGGCAGTATCTGAGGAGCGTTCCCAGAGAAGAGGGGTGGTTTGTCCGCTCCCTGGCTCGGTTTCCCTGTTACTCCTTCCAGGCATTCTGCAGCATCCGCCCGATTGATACTGTTAGTTCTACACTGAGACCTGGAGGCCCAGAATCCAGGTTCATGGAGACTGGGCAGCCCAGTTCAGGTCAGTCCTGATAGAGGAGAAAGGCTCAGAGAGAGAGCACAAGTGACTTGACCTTGGACAAGCCCTTTTTCACTGCTTGGATAATGTCTCCAAGGCAGAGAATCACAGAATGTCAGGGAAGGAGGAAACCCTTAGCCTCACGGCACTCAATATTGGAAGTGGCTTACATGAACTCCTGTCAGTTCTGACCCCTCAATTCAGGCATTCTGACTCCCAGCTTGGCTTTGCCATTGATGGTGAGTCAAGAAGTGACTGCTACCCACTCTGTCCTTGCCCTGAAGCTGGACTGCTAGCTTCATGGTTACAGAAAGGTTATTGGAAGGAGGGAAGTAAGTTCTCCTCAAACCTGAAATGGAGACCTTCAGCAAGGAAGCCCAGAGCCCTTACCTCATGCCCTGGCACAGACTTTGAGTCAGCACCCCAAACTGGCACCCTGCCTCACCTGGGGTCCCCATGGCCATCATTATCAGTGAATGCTGGGTGGGGTTCCTCCCAAGAGGACATGCCTAAATTGAGCCAGTCAGGAAGGCAGTGGAAGGAACTTCATCTTTAGCCTTTTCTAATGATGAATCACTAGTTGTTCATGAAAGTCTCAAAAATGCTTGTTGTGCTGTGGGTGACCCCCTTGGGAGATTCTACAGCATTGCATGAGGGCAGGGGATGGGGAGGGTGGGGCTGGGTGGTGGGAGGAAGGTGGGGGTGAGTACCACATCCTGTGGATGCTGCCTCTTCTCCCTTCATACCTGGTGAGTTCTGCTAGAGGCCACCTCCTTCCCACTGGAACATCTTTGAATCTTCATGAGGCTGGGACTTGTATCTCTCTGAAGAAGGAACTCTTTTGTGGGGCTTCATTCCAGGGCCCTGGAGCCTGAGTCGATTTCATCTGGGACAATAATTTGGTGAGGCCTTGGGGAGATGTTGTATGGGGGTGTATGGATTCAGCCTGGGGTCCCGAGCTGGTGGGGTTCTCTGGTGAGAATCTAGACTGGGGCATATCTGTCACCACCCATGTATCACATGGCGGGTCTGAGAGAAGTCCCCAGATGCTCCCTGCTTTGAAATTTCAAGATTTCTTCATTCCACCTTACAAATCATGCCTCCCAGTAGAAGCTGTTATCCCCAAATTCATTGCAGTTAAGCCTATTTTCTGTTGAAAGGCAGCCCTACAATCGCTCAACATGGTATGGGCCGCCACTATCCCAGAATACAGTTCACACAGATGTGCCTCTAGCCTGTTAGCACAAGTGGATGGAGTTCCATTTACCCAATTCCTGGAAGTGTGCAAATTGTTAAAAATATTATCTGGTTTCTTCATTGATTTCTGTGACCATGCTTAGTTTTGGGGCTATCTTATTTTTCATAGACTTCAGTTTAAAACTAATACCTCAACTTGCAGGGTGTCTGTCTCCCCTAATCCTTCCCACCCCTTCTTCTTAGCTAGGAAGTCACAAATAATCTGCAAAGCACATAAAAATGCAAAAAAAAAAAAAAAAAAAAAGCACTAAGGGAGTTTCCCAGCCAAATAAAAGCCCTCCGGGTAATGCTTCTGTAGCATGTTGCAAAGATTTTCTCTAACTAGTTTCTAAGTGGGACTTAGTGGGTCCTGTACTGTCACCATGGAGACAAGTATGTATCCCACAATGCAATGGACAGAAATGGTCTCTCTGGGACTCAAGGCAAGCTTGTTGGTCTGGTTATTTGCTATCATGGAGTTCTCTCATCTCCTACCACCAGAGAGAATTTTGGCTTAACTTGTATTTTCTCTACCGTAGCGTAGTGGTTATGAATCGGGCTGCGAACCACAAGGTCAGCAGCTTGGAACTACCAGCTGTTCCATGGGCGAAAGATGAGGCTTTCTGCTCCCATAAAGATTTATAGCCTCGGAAACCCTGTACAGGGTTGCTATGGGTTGGAACCGACTCGACGGCACTTAACAACAACAACAACAACAGCAACAACTTTCCAGTTTCAGTAAATGCTAGGGCTTCAGAAACACAAAAATCCTGAACGTCCCAACAGGAAGGAAACTTTGAACCATCTGGTGTTGTAGTCCAACACCTTCTTGTCACACTCTTATTTTACAGATGGCGACACTGAAGCCTAGACTGTGGGCAGAGACTGGCCTAAAGTTGGGATTGAACTCAGGCCTCCTGACTGCAGTCCACGGCTCTTTCTAGCAACCAGTATATTGGCAACAACGGCAGAAGATCCCTCCACCAGGCCCAAACGATTCCTTTCTAGCCCTCCCCGTCCCAGGTCTCTCGTTGGTCCAACTACACGTATTTTGGGTTATAGCAGAGCATGTTGAACTCGAGGTTCTCATCCCAGTGTCGCAGAAGCACGAAGAGCTGGCGGGCAGCGGCCTTGAGCGTGTCCTGCGTGCGGCCCTCGGGAACCTCCTGCTGCTCCAGCCACGAGCTGGCCTTGGCGGCTACCAGCTCCCACTCAATGAAGTAGGCGGCCGAGTTGTGCTCCAACCAGGCCAGTGCCACCACTGTGGCCCACAGCTTCCCCATGTGATCGGCTACGGCCCTCAGCTCCAAGTCTGGCTTGTTTTTGGCAGGGGGTTCCGGGGAGAAGCTGTCATAGGAGGACTGACGAGATGAGGACCTGGTGCACAGCTGGGGACTGGGGGTCTTTGACTCGGGCTGGCGGGCAGTGAGGGACACTCGGTGGCAGGTGAATGGTGAAGTCCACTTGAGCTTTGCCATGGGGATTTGGGTGGTCTCACAGAAGGCTTGGTTGAGCAGGAAGGCTCCAGAGGCCAGCTGCAGAGATACCTGTAGGGTGGCGGGGTGCCCCTCAGTGGGACTCAATTTCTTCACCCTTGGAGTCTCAGACCACAAACGTTTGGACTGACATCTCTCCCACCCCTTGGGGATTTGTGGTATTCTTGGCTAAACTCTAGTTGTGCCCACAGGGTAAAAGGACCTCCATCCTTTTACCCTGTAGGCACTTCACACTCATCATTCTCCAAGTGCAACACTATGTCTTCATCCAAACCCACCTCTCGCCCTGGGTGGACCCAGATCAGCCCCCAGACACCAATCAGATCCCATCAGGCCTAATTTCTGAAGACCTCTGGGACTTACCACCTGCCCCTCATGCTATCCTGGCCTCTGTGTTACCCGCTTTGCCCAACACGCTTTCCTGCATCCAGAGGGACTTTTGTAAGGCATTGGTCCTCTTGCTCTTTGATTTAACCAGCTTTATGGCTTCATTTTTCTTTTAAAATATGTCTGAAGTGTCACTTACAAAACTCTACAATGTTCTAATCTTGATTTACTCTTGTTATGTACCCCCTCAAACTCGATTCTCTAGCCAACCACGTTCTCGCTCGCTCTCCCCTCTAAACTCTCGACTGGAACTTCTAGTCCTTCAGGTCTTGGTTGAACCATTTCCTCTTTTAAGTTATGCTTGATTCCTTCCCCACCTTGAGTCTGGCTTAGATGTACCCCCTAAACGTCCTCATCAATCTGACCTCTCCTGTCACAGCTCCCAAGGAGAATATATGGCCTAATTCCTTGTCTGTGCCCCCACTAGAAGCTTAGTGCCATAAGGGCAGAGACTATGTAGTTCAAGGCGGTATCCCCAGGGTCTGGTACTATGCCTGATACAACAAATACTTGTGCAGTGGATGAAAGCGCTGTACTTTGTTGCCCTGGATATTTGGAAATGTAAAATGAATCCATATACTGCGTATACAAGGACAGAACTATGCTGAGAAGCTTAAAACCGTATCTCTTCTCTAAGAACCTCTGAGCCTAAGCCCCAGTGGACCCTAGCTGTGGCAGGGCGATGCTCTCCTGCTCCCTAGTTGAGAGGAGCCCCCTCTAGACCTGACTTCTCCACCTGCCACCGCGGAAAGGGGCATCTGCAGAGACACGTGTTAACCGTGGTGCGTGTCCCTGGGGTGTTAATTTTACTCACTTGTGAGTCATCTTGAGGCTTATTTTTATATATTGAAAAACAGACACATAGATGTTGGAGCAGAACGCAAAATTCCCATGAATTTTTAAAGCCAAGACAGCACATTGCAAAGACTTTGTATGGTACTGGCTCTGGTTTCTAGCAATCTCCCTAGATCCCTGAGGTCAGAGGACCTCCTGCTAACTCTCTCTGCCCTGCTGGCTATTTGGGTGGAAAGGTCTAAGGAGCTCCAGAACTCAGGAGATTTGAGCTCTAAGACCCAGGTCTTCTTCCCTTTGGAGGCTCCAGGAAGGTCCCACAGCTGTATGCTGGGCTGAGGTTTGGGGTCTGGGACACTCACCAGAGGCACATAGTTGACGTTTTGGCTCACCGAGGTGGACTCTGGAGTCTTGTTCAGTGGCTTGCCCAGGAAGCCCTTGGCTGCACGTATCAGCAGCCTGGACTTGTGGAGATTCAGTCTGTGCAGAGGGACCCAGGAAGAATGGTCACAGCTGCCCTGGGAATGTCCCTGGTCATCTGACCACTAGGGCCTATCCAGCAGACTCTGAACGTCAGAACCAGATGGCTTACTCTAACCTTCTCATTTGACACCTGGGGAAACTGAGGTCTGGAGTGAGGGGGAGACATTTACCCAGAGGCCCCCAGTGAGTTAGCAGTAGCCTGGGCTAGGAGCCTGTGTTCTTTTTATGACTTGCTCTCTTTTTTAATTGCTGTAAAAGTATCTGCATTGGCCAATGTAACATTTTTTTACGTGTACACTTCTGTAACATCAATAACACTAATCATGTACACCACCGATGACACCCTTTTTTGATACTGTATTCTCATCCAACCCGATGCTCTGAAGAGTCCCAAGCCTACTACTGTCCCCGAGCATCCACATTTGAAGAGGGACCATGGGAGTGGGGGAGATGGACTTCACCTAGCCAATGTTAAACAGTGCGATACCTGGGAAATGGTGTTGTCTCTGGGTAGGTGGACCTTCCTGACATCCATCAAATTGTACCTTATTGTTTATTTTGTTTAAATGTAATGCAACACTTGCCTCCAATCTTTCAAAGTAGGGGCAGTCCCAAGAGAAATGGTATGTGAACTTACTTTCATTAGAAACCTCACTTACCTGGATCCGAAGAGAGTCTCGGGGGTCTTCACAGAAGAAAGGGTGTTAATGGCCTGACTGTTCGGGGGACCTGAAGAGTAACAGAATTGTGGGGTTGAGCCCTGATAGATGGCCCTGTCCAAGTGTTCTTTGCCTGGCTGGGGAAATAGAGGCCCAAAAGGGGCAAGGGCTTGTCTAAGTCCCTAAATATATCTCTATGGCCTTTACATTCCTAGGCGTCAGAGCTAAGGCTTCTGGGTTGTTCTGACCTAGTTGCTATGGGGAGGGGAGGAAGGTGTGGATCCGTATGGAAGAAACTGGTCTAAAGTCTCCTAGGCAGATGAGCTCCTGGTGTCTCCTGGAGGTTACCTGTGGGGATGTTGACAGTTTTATGTCAACTTCCCTTATCCCAAGATAGGGACCTTAAGTTTACTTTCATCCAGGCTGCTGTTGGATTCTGGGCATAATGTGTTGGTAGACTATTCTGGGCAGAGTGGGGTGGAATTGGGAGACCTGCTTCTAGACCTGGCTTTGTCACTGACATGCTGTGTGACCTTCGGCAAGTCACTTTACCTCCTTGAGTCTCAGTTTCCTTATCTTTAAACTGGGGACAATCTTATTTACCTCTCTCAGGGCTGTTTTGAGGAGTAAATGAAGTCCTGAGGTCTTTGATGGTGCTAAGGCACTCTTCCAAGTCAAGGCTTGGTTACTAGAACCATCTTCATTACAAAGAGAGATGGCACTGACTGCCCACTCACCTTTGGAAGTCACGTGCTTCTCACAGCCAGGGCATGTAGTTTCGCAGATGGGTGAGGTGGGGATCTCCTCCAGATCTACAAAGAGGAAGCCAGTGAGACCTAGCCTTGTTTGGCCCTTTCTTCTTACCTCCCATATTCACCTAGGAGAGTCAATGTCCCAGTTCACAGTTACTAGGGGTGGGATGGTGTAGCAAAATCAAGGTTTCTTTCCTTGCCTTGATGGACCTAAATCTTCCAAAGACATTATCCCTGCTCAACTATAAGAGTCAGGTAGGCTTGGGTTCAAATGCTGACTCCCCCAAGGACTGTGTGTTAAGTGTCATCGAGCTGGCTCCAACTCATAGCAACACTGTATAGGGTTTCTGAGGGGCAGCTGGTGAGCTTGAACTGCTGACTTTGAGATTCAAACCAACTTTGCAGTCCAGCACATTAACTCACAGCACCACATCAGAACTCCATGAACTAACTGTGTAGCCCTAGGGAAATTATTTCCTTTATTCACTTCTATTGTAAATTGGGGGTAATAGTAACTGTCTCAGAGTTGTTATTGAGGATTAAATGAGATAATACACAGATAGAGGTTAATGTCTGGGATACTGTAAGTGCCTAATAAAGGCAAGGAGCACAATGGCTCCAAAGGATAAGCAATATCCTTTGGACTGCAAACTACAAAGTTGGCAGACTGAGCCCACCAGCCTCTCCATGGGAGAAAGATGAGGCTTCCTGCCCCCACAAAGACTTAAAGCCTCGGAAACCTATACAGGGTTGCTATGAGTCAGAAGGGACTCAAAGGCACTTAACAACAACAAAAAGGCAAGATGGAATCAAGACCTTGAGCTACAGATGCAACAGGGAATCAGGAGTTTAGGGGCCTGGGACGGAGGTAGGGCAAAAGAGGTCTGTGCCTCACTGAGTAGCCAGGCTCATGCCAGCTCTCCAGGGAGAGGAGGCGCCAGAACATAGATAGTACTGACCAGTTAGAGGGCTCTGAGCCTCAGTTTCCCTATCTATGAAAGAGACTGATACTCTTTAATAAAAATGCTTAACCAGGGTGATCATTTTTACGATGATTATTCCAAGGAGCCTGGTGGCGCTGTAAGATAAGTACTGGACTGTAAGCTCCACCAGAAGCTCAGCAGGAGAAAGATGAGAACTTCCCGTAAAGATTTACAGCCTTGGAAATCCTCTACAGGGGTACAGTGAGTCAGAATCTACTAGATGGCATTGAATTTTGTTGTTTTAGAATATTCCATGGACTAGAGAGGGCTGGGGTGATCTACTGTAAAGGAATGATTGAAATTCTAGAGAAAGAGTCATGCAGAGATATGTTAGTTTAAGCCTCTGCTCTTCCTGTGGGACCTTTAGCTTTGGGAGGTTAAGATAGAGCTCTGTCCATGAGAGTGAGCTAGTGACTGACTGGCTATGGTTGAATAACTGAGGGAACCAGGTGGCAAATAGCATGGTGGTTAACCTCATAGGCTCTGGAGCCAGGTGCTCCTTGGGTTTAAGTCTTGGCTGTACCACATACTAGCTGTGTGATCTTGGGTAAGCCACTGAACCTGTTTCCTCACCTCCTAATGGGAGTAATACAAGAAACTCCCTTAGATGACTGTGAAGCTGCTTTGAAACTCAGAATAGTGGCTGACATTTAGGAAATTCTCGGTGCCTATTAGCCACTGCCATCCTGAAGGAGGGAAATGGGTTAGGCTGGACTGTTGTTGCTGCTGTCGAGTTGGTTCTGACTCATAGCGACGCTGTACAGGGTTTCCAAAGAGTGGTTGATAGGTTCGAACTGCCAACCTTTTGGTTCAAACGGACCTTTCGGTCCAATATTTATCCTACAGTGCCACACCAGGATTGTTTAATGGGGTGTGAGTCAAAGGACATTTGAAAGGGAGTAATTGGTGATTATGATGGAAACCAGAGGCCACCAGGAGTTGAACTGTGGGGAAAGGAAAGGGTAGAACAGCCACTGCCTCCAGACTGGATGCTCCATTTGACTCTGAGGTAGACCATGTTCTTGGTTTTGGAGGGACAAAGAAATTGGCAGAACTTCATGATTTTGAAGAGCTCCTCTAAGGTTCCACCTTCTCACACAGTGGTTCTTTTTAACCCATCGATGTCATCAGCACTTTCTAGTTCCTCGGGTAAAACAATGTTAAGATCTGGGTGTCTGGGCATGTGGCCAAGTAGGGCCTCTGATGTTCCTCTAATGCACACCACAGGGGGCATATCAAGGGGGCAGTTAGGACTACAGCTAGCAGTTAGACTGTCTTTACAGAGACAGAAACACACACACATATTCAGTACACAAAGGGTTACAGCCATTCTGTAAATTAGTGTGAGGCCAGAGGCCCTAGGTCACCAAAAGATCAAGTCATGGATCTTCAAGAACTTGAGCTGGAGGCACGATGAAATCTTATGGAGTCTGAAAGCAAGCTGTTTAGAATCATGAAGAAGCAGATGGTGGAACTCAAACAGATGGGATTGCCTCTTGGCTCTTTGCTTTTCCCACTCCTTTGTTAGATTCCCTGGTAGTTGTTGTCTGGGAGGACCCCAAAGTTGGCGACAGAGAACTGCCATTAGATTTGGAGGATCTTGAAAGGAGAGGTGGGAGATGGTGTTATGGATTGAATTGTGTCTCCTAAAAAGATATATTGAAGTCTTAACTTCTGTACCTGTTCATGAAACCCTGTCTAGAAATATAGTTTTCTTTTGTTATATTAATGAAGGCATTGCTGTTGTTGTCCTTAAGTGCCGTAGAGTCTTTCAGTTTCTGACTCATAGTGACCCTGTGTAAAGTTTCTGAGGAATGGCTGATGAATTTGAACAGCCAACCTTGCGGTTGAGTGCTTATCCTATAGCGCCACACCAGGACTCCATTTAAATGAGGGCATTGGTTGGTTGGTTATGCACTGTGGAGTCGGTTCCAACTCATAGTGACCTTGCATAAGGTTTCTGAGGCTGTAAATCCTTACAGGAGCAGAAAGCCTCATCTTTATTCCACAGAATGGCTGGTAGTTTTGAACTCCTGACCTTGAGGTTAGCAGTGTGACTCAGAACCACTACGCTACCAGAACTCCTTAAATGAGGGCACACTGGGGCAATGTTGGTCTTAAACGTAATCCCTTCTGAGAAGTGTCTTATAAAAAGAGAAAAGAGAGACTGAGAAACACACAGGGAACTAGACCATGTGAGGTTCCATCTACCAGCCAAGAAATGCCCAGCTCTGGTAGCATAGTGGTTATGAGTTGGGCTGATAACCTCAAGGTCAGCAGTTTGAAACTACCAGCTGTTCCACAGGAGAAAGATAAGACTTTCTGCTCCTGTAAAGATTTATAGACTCGGAAGCCCTATGCAGGATCACTATGGGTCAGAACTGACCCCATGGCACATCTCCCCCACCCCATACTCCAGAAGCTGAAAGAGGCAGGAATCTTCTCCTAGAGCTAACAGAGAGGGAGAGAGAACTAAGATCTGCCCATGGTGTCCTGAATTTCATCCCTCATTTCCAGGCTGTAAGAGAATATATTCCTAGTCTTTAAAGCCACCCACTGGCTTTTGTTATGGCAGCCCGAGGTAACTAAGGCACATGATGTGAGCAAGGTGGCAGGGAGGAAGCGCTCCTCTCAAGCTCTGCCATTCTTGGTAAGGCTGTATTAATGGTGGCTTGTTAGGGTCATGCTGAGCCTCTCAGTATCACAGGCCTCAGGGAGGTCCCAATCTGCCCAGGCACCCAGACTGCAGAGGCCTCTGGGCTTTGGACATGAAGCTGTGATAACCTCTAGGGCCCAGGCTTCTGAACATGACAAAATGAGTTCTTACTGAGGTTTTGAAATTTGCCATCTCCTGCTGCTGATTCTTCCCCAAGCATGCTCTGAGACTGTCCAAGGCTGACAGAGGTGCCCCTCAGATGTCGGGTCAGGATCCTCGAGCTGGCCATCCGTAATGCAGCACCTTCATGGAGGACAAGGAGAGGGATCAGCTGGATACAAATATGTTGGTCCTTTGTCTCTTCTCCAAAACCAGCAGGAATGATTCTGGTTTTTAATCTTTTAATTATCCAAAGGCAGGGAGACACTGTACAAAGTAAGGCCTCCAGCTTTTAAATCAGAAAGACCTCAGTTGAATCCCAGACTAATTTCTCAATAACTTAATGGGAAAATTAATGACTCTGAGCCTCAGTTTCTTCATCTGGAAAATGGGGATAATAATACCTACCTTGTCTGGTAGATACGATAGTTGAGATAATGCTCAGAAAGTAGCAGTGCTTGCTAGCCGTTAAAAGGCTGGGTTCTTCAGGAACCTTCTGTTCCTGTTTGCTATTTCAAAGACCAGAGCTCAAGTCCCCCACCCTGAAGTCAGTCCCAAGGCATCACCAATGAGATGGAAGGGAGATAAAGCTAGAGCATCCCAAAATATGTTTTGGGGAACCCTATTCTTGGAGGACACTAGTTTTGTAAAGTGCTCCAGCTGCCCATCCATCTTACCAGAGTTGGGGTACTCCACCACGGTGGGCAAGTAGCGACTCTGGCTCATGTCCACAGGTACGAAAGTGGTGTATTTGCTGATGATGTTGCAGGCCTTGCTGGTATGCACAGCATTCACCTGGTAGCGACGGCTAGACCCTGCAGAGGGAGAAATTGGTGTGTCCTCTTGATTCGGTATGGATTGCATCTCAATGTAAATAAAACAAAAATCCTCACCTCTGGACCAATAAACAACATTCTTATCAACGGAGAAAAGATTGAAGTTGTCAAGGACTTCATTCTTTTTGGATCAACTATCAACACTCATGGAAGCAGCAGTCAAGAAATCAAACGACGTATTGCATTAGGCAAATCTGTTCCACAAGACCTTTTTAAAGTGTTGAAGAGCAAAGATGTCAGCTTGAGGACTAAGATGCGCCTGACCCAAGCCACGGTATTTTCAATAACCTTATATACATGTGAAAGTTGGACAATGAATAAGGAAGACCAGAGAAGAATTGATGCTTTTGAGTTATGGCGTTGGAGGAGAAAACTGAAAGTGCCATGGGCTGCCAAAAGAACCAACAGATCTGTGTTGGAAGAAGTGCAGCCAGAGTGCTCCTTGGAGGTCAGGATGGCCAAACTTCGTCTCTCATACTCCAGATATATTTTCAGAAGGGACCAGTCACTGGAGGAGGATATCATGTTTGGTAAAGTGAAGGGTTAGAGAAAAAGAGGAAGACCCCCAGTGAGATGGATTGGCAAAGTGGCAGCATCAATGGGCTCAAGTGTGGCAACAATTGTGAGGTTGGCCCAGGACTGGGCAGTATTTCGTTCTGTTGTGCACAGATAGGGTCGCTATGAGTTAGTACCAACTCGATGGTACCTAAAAACAACAGCAACAACTTGATTCAAAGGCAGAAGCTCTGGAAGCTAAAAGGAGGGCTAGACCAGTAGTTCCATCTTTTGGATTAAATGTTGTTGTTGTTGTGAAGTGCCGTCAAGTCAGTTCTGACCCATAGTGACCCTGTATAGGGTTTCTGAGGAGCAACTGGTGAGCTTGAACCACTGACCTTGCAGTTCAAACGGCTTTGCAGTCTGGCACATTAACCCACAGTGCCACAATAAGCCACTCAAATTAAGGGGTTGACCATTTACCAATTCAGGACATTAAAAAATAAAAAAAAAGAACCAACATTATTAACCCCCATCATCATTTCACAAAACAAAGGACCTTTTATATAAAATGATAAGACATTAATCATCTCAGAATAAAAGATAGCTGCTTCCCTTAAGTAAGCTTGATGTTATAAAAGCCCTCTGTGTGGTCTGTAATTTATTTTTTCAGCTGTGTAATGAGAACCTTGCTGCAGAACTTCACAGGTCCCCTGAGTGACAGGTGGGAGCCATTGATCTGTTGTATTTAATTGCTGAGAAGACTGAAAATCAGAGTGGGAGTGTGACATAGTCAGGAAGGACTTCAGGACTCTGTGGCTACAAATCCCAACATCTCTTCACTAAGCAGGGAAGCTGTTTTCTCGGCTTGCTATCCTCCAGAAGGCTGTGAGGCGCCAAGGAGATGGAGGATGAACAAGTGCTTAGTAAACTGTAAGGTGAAGTGCTCATGAGAAGAAAAGAAATATACACATTCAAAATCACAAATAATGTACAATTACCGAAACAGTACAATAGTTTATAAATGAAATGCTAAACTTATAATAAAATAAAACATTATGCCTATCTATATCTATCAGGATTTGGCAGTCTGGCACATTAGACTGCACTAGACTGGCACTAGACTGCACTAGACTGGCACATTAGATAAGCACTAGACTGTGAACCACAAGGTTGGCAGTTCAAGCACACTAGTCATTTCCTGGGAGAAAGAGGAAGCTTTCTGCTCCTGCAAAGATTCAAAGCCTCAGAAACCCTAAACAGGATCTTTATGAGTTGGGACCGACTCGACAACACTTAACAACAACAACAACAACAACAAAAAAAAAACCCAACTACCTATATTTCTATGTTTCTACCACCCACTTGTCAGTTTGTCGTACTGTGGTGGCTTGTGTGTTGCTGTGAAACTGGAAGCTATGCCACCAGTATTTTAAAAACCAGTCCATGGTTTCAACGGTGTTTCCAGACTAAGATTCAGAAAAAGAGGTCTGGTGATATTCTTTTGAATATCATCCAGTGAAACCTATGGCTCACAATGGAGCTATGTCAACTAGTTTGCTCTGCACATGTCACCAGGATGAATCGATCACTGGAGGAGGACATGACATTTGATGAAGTAGAGGGCCAGTGAGGGTGAGGGAAACCCTCAATGAGATGGATTGGTACAATAATCACACTGATAGGCTCGAACATGCCAGCAATTGTGAGGACGGCTCAGGGCTGGGCAAAGTTTCATGCTGTTGTCACCATGAGTTAGCATCCACTTTGAGGCAGCTGAGCGGTAACAATAGGTACTGTTATCACTATTACTTACTGTTGAGTTGATTTGGAATCATGGGTACCCAATGTGTACAGAGTAAAACCACTTCCTAGAGTTTTCAACACTGACTTTACAGAAGCAGATTGCCAAGTTTGTGTCTTCTCAGATGTCTCTGAGTAGTTTTGAACCGCCAACCTTTCAGCTAGTTGTCAAGTGCTTAAAGGCCACCTAGGACCCTACAAGATCTAAATCTAGATCTATGTATTCCCCAAGAAAGTCCCAGCTCTTGGACTAAATTAGCTCTCCCCACTACCTTGGTGCTGTAGGATCAGCACTGGACTTCGAACCATAAGGTTGGCAGTTCGAATCCACCAGATGCTCCTCGGAAACCCTATATAGGGTCGCTATGAGTTGGAACCAACTCGACGGCACTTAACAACAACAACAACACTACCTTGGCTATTTTGAACTAGATAATAATATAGTCTATTATGCTAGGAATGACAAACTGAAGAGGAATGTATTCACATTCATTATTTAAAAAGAACACTTCAAAATTATCCTGAAGTACAACACTGTCAGGTGTTAGGATAATATCTATATGCTTACAAGGAAGACCAGTTAATGCAACTATTACTCAAATTTGCATATCAACCACTAATGCCAAAGATGAGGAAATTGAAGGTTTTTAACCAGTTTCTGCAGTCTGAAATTAATCAGACATGAAATCAAGATGCACTGATAATTGCTGGTGACTGGAATGTGAAAGTTGAAAACAAGAAGGATCCACAATTGGAAAATAAGGCCTTGGTAATAGAAATGTAACAGGGGATCACGTGATAGAATTTTACAAGACAAGCAACTTATTCATTGCAAATACCATATTTCAATGGACCATGCAGGATGAAATATACAAGAATCAATTCAAACACATCTGTGGAGACAATGGAAAAACTCAGTATCATCAGTCAAAACAAGACTAGGAGCTGACTGCAGAACAGACCATCAATTACTTATATGCAAGTTCAAGAAAGTTATAACAAGTCCACAAGAGCCAAAATTGTGACCTTGAATATATCCTGCCTGAATTTAGAGGCCATTACAAGAAAAGATTTGATCATTGCAATGAAACAATGACTGTAAAACCAATGTTCTCCCATGTAAACTATCACTCAATTCACAATACAAACTTAAAAAAAAAAAAAAAGAATAGATTTGAGGTATTAAACATAAATGGCAAAAGACCAGATAGGTGTGGAATGACATATGTGAAGAAACCAAATAGTCATGAAAATTACAGAATGAAAAATCAAATTAGATGTCACAAGAGACTGAAACTTGTTCTTGAAATAGAGAAGCTAAATCAAAGAGCTGACCAGAGGATTTCAAAGGGTGGCTCGAGAAAACAAAGTTACGATATTGAAATGTATGCAAAGGTCTAGAGTTAGGAAACCAAAAGGGAAGAACATGCTTGACATTCTTCAAGCTGAAAGAACTGAAGAAAATACTCAAGCCTTGAGTTGCAATATTGAAGGAATCTACGCCGATAGATCTAGGCTGAAAGCAGAGAATACCAGAAAGATGTTTACCTGTGCTTTATTGACTATGCAAAGGCTTTTGATTGTGTGGATCATGACAAGTTTTGGACAACATTGTGAAGTATGAGTATTTCTGAACACTTAATTGTGCTCATGAGGAACCTGTGCATGGACCAAGAGGCAGTTGTTAGAACAGAACATGGGAACACTGAATAGTTTAAAATTAAGAAATGTGTGTGACAGGGTTGTATTCTTTCACCATATTTATTCAACCTGTATGCTGAGCAAATAATCCGAGAAGCTGGGTTAAATGAAGAAAAACCTGTCATCAGGATTGGAGAAAGAGTCATTAACAACCTGAGATATGCAGATGATACAACCTTGCTTGTTGAAAGTGAAGAGGGTTTAAAAAACTTACTGATGAAGATCAAAGAGCACAGCCTTCAGTATGGATTGCATCTTGATGTAAAGAAAACAAAATTTCTCACCACGGGACCAATAAACAACATTCTTATCAATGGAGAAAAGATTGAAGTTGTCAAGGACTTCATTCTTCTTGGATCAACTATCAACACTCATGGAAGCAGCAGTCAAGAAATCAAATGATGTATTGCATTAGGCAAATCTGTTGCACAAGACTTTTTTAAAGTGTTGAAGAGCAAAGATGTCAGCTTGAGGACTAAGGTGCGCCTGACCCAAGCCATGGTATTTTCAATAACCTCATATGCATGCGAAAGCTGGACAGTGAATAGGGAAGACCGTAGAAGAATTGATGCTTTTGAGTTATGGTGTTGGAAGAGAATAGTGAAAGTTCTATGGGCTGCCAAAAGAACCAACAGATCTGTGTTGGAAGAAGTGCAGCCAGAGTGCTTCATCTTTCATACTTTGGATGTGTCAGGAGGAACCAGTCTCTGGAGAATGATATCATGATTGGTATGGTGGAGGGTCAATGAAACAGAGGAAGACCCCCAGTGAGATGGATTGGAAAAATGGTAGCATCAATGGTCTCAAGCTTAGCAACAATTGTGAGGTTGGCCCAGGATCGGGCAATGTTTCGTTCTGTTGTGTACAGGGTTGCTATGAGTTGGTACTGACTCAATGGCATCTAACAGTAACAACAGTGCGCAACATGGTGCCCTGGTGTGATGCTGCAGGATAATACACAGGACCACAATGTCAGTTTGAGCCACAAGGTTGGCAGTTCAAATCCACCAGCTGCTCCTTGGAAACCCTATACAGGGTTGCTGAGTCAGAACCGACTCAACAGCACTTAATAACAACAACAACATGGACAAAATATTGAACAAGGCAGGAAGCATCACAAGAAGACAGAAGGAATACACAGTCACTGTACCAAAAAGAAGTAGGCAACATTCAACCACTTTGATAGCATATTATCAAGAACTGATGATATTGAAGGAAATGTTCAAGTTTCACTGAAGGCAATGGTAAAAAAAAACATGGCTCCAGGAATAGCAATTGAAATATTTCAAGAAACCAATGCAGCACTGGAAGTGCCCACTCCAATAAGCCAAGAAATCTGGAAGACAGCTATCTGGCCAGAGATCCACATTTGTGCCTATTCCAAAGAAAAGTGATCCAACAGAATGTGGAAATTATCAAACAATCTCATTAATGTCACATGCAAGTAAAATTTTGCTGACGGTAATTTAAAAAATAGCTGCGGCAGTACATGGACAGGGAGCTGTCCAAAATTCAAGCCAAATGCAGAGGAGAATGTGGAATGAGGTATATTACTGCTGATATCAAATGGATCTTGACTGAAAGCAGAGAATATCAGTAAAATGCTCACCTGTGTTTTATTGCCTATGCAAAGCCATTCAACTGCATGGATCATAACAAATGATGATTAACATTGTGAAATACGGAAATTCTAGAATATTGCATTGTGCTTATGAACAAAGGTGTGCATTAGGGTTGTATTTTTTCACCATATTTACTCAATCTGTATTCTGAGCAAATAATCCAAGAAGCCAGACTATATGAAAAAGAACATGGCATCAAAACTGGGGGAAGACTCATTAATAACTTGCAATATGCAAATGACACAACCTTGCTTCCTGAAAACAAAGAGGATATGAAGCATTTACTGATGAATATCTAAGACATCAAGGAGCTCTGGTAGTGTAGTGGTTACGAGTCGGGCTGCCAACCTCCAGGTCAGCAGTTCAAAACTACCAGCGGCTCCGTGGGAGAAAGATGAGGCGTTCTGCTCCTGTGAAGATTTACAACCTCAGAAACCCTGTGCAGGGTCACCATGAATCAGAACCACCACCAACAACAACGTCTAAAACATCAACTTTCAGTATGGGTTACACCTCAACATAAAGAAAACAAAAATTCTCACAGCTGGGCCAATTAGCAATATCATAAAATAAATGAATAAAAGATTGAAGTGGTCACAGATTTCAGTTTATTTGGATCCAAAACCAATGCCCAGGGGAGCAGCAATCAGGAAATCACAGTATTGCATTGGGCAAATCTGCTGCAAAAGTTTCTCTGAAATATTCTCACATGCATGTGAAATCTAGACAAAAAGTAAGGAAGACCAAAGAAAAATTGCTGTCTTTCAATTAGGGTGTTGGTGGAGAATATTGAATATACCAAGGACTGCCAGAAGAACCAACAAATCTGTGTTGAAAAAAATTACAGCCAGATGTATAGTGAGGATGGCAAGATTTGGTCTCATATACTTTGAACATATCATCAGGAGGGACCAGTCCGTGGAGAAAGACAGCATCTTCATAAAGTAGAGGGTCAGTGAGAAAAAGGAAGACCCTCAAGTGGATAGATTGACACAGTGGCTGCAACAGCTGCCTCAAACACAGTAACGATTGTGAGGAAGGTACAAGACTGGGCAGTGTTTTGTTCTGTCGTACAAGGGGTTGCTATGAGTTGGAACCAACTTGACGGCACAACTCCTATGTATGTAGATTCTACCATATTAGGAATCTTGTTATCAAGTAGTTCAAAACTAGACGCTGTGGAGTTCAAAACTAGACGCTGTGGAGGCACACATGATATGGAAGAAATCATCGTCATAGCCAGTTTCCAAGATGGAACTGACTGGACAGCACCTAACAGTCACCGCCACCACCATCCTATTATACAACCTCATGAACTCCTCTGTGTCTTAATAGCGCTTAACCCATTGCTATTCCGTTGATTCTGATTCATAAGGAACCTACAGCAAAGAGTAGAGCTGCCCCATAGGGTTTCCTAGGCTGTATATCTTTTTGGAGTTCTGGTGTGGTGCCATAGGATGAACACTCAACCTTAAGGTTGGTTTGAACCACAGGTCGGTCGTTCAAACCCACCAGCCTCTCTTAGGAAACTCTATACTGGGTTGCTATGAGTCGGAATCACTCAACAGCACTTAACAACAAAAACAACAATATCTTTTTGGAAGCAGATGGCCACATCTTTCACCTACAGTGCAGATGCGGGGTTTGAACTGTTAACCTTCCGGTTAGCAGTTGAGTGCTTAGCAGCTGTGCCACCAGGACTCCCAGCATTTATGACAAATGCACTCGATTAATTATTTGTATAATCAATTATCTCATTAATGTCTGCTTCCGTGCTAGCCGGTGTCAAACCCTCACTGGCAGGGATGGGGACATGTTCACTGAGCTGTTCGCTGTGCTATACAGGGTCCAGGGTCTAGAAAGTTCTCTGGGAAAGGCCATGGTCCTGGAAGAGCTAGAACAGTGAAAGGGACTGTGCATTGTTCTGCCCTTTCCCCAGCATCCCTCCTGGGGGCGCTGCAGAGGACAAGCACAGGGAAATAAGAAGGAAGGTCTGGACAGGAAGAGGGAGGGTCAGGGGGGTGGGTGTAGAAATGGAGACGCCATTGGTGCCTTGAATAAGTTGGGGGCAGGGAATGGCTGGAAGTGGGGAATCTTGGGACGTGTTTCTGCTTTGGGCGGGAGACCGACTGCTTGGAGAGGGAGGACCGGGGAGGGGCGGGACTATGGGGAGGAGGCTGGGGCGGGGGCGCGGGCGGGGGGGGGGGTGGGAGGGAAGATCGTGTGTGTGTGTGTGTGTGTGTGTGTGTGTGTGTGTGTGTAGTGTAAAGCATCCGGGCAGGGCGGGGCTGTAGGGAAGGGTGGGCCAGCCGAGTGGGAAACGATTCTGGGAGGTGAACAGGATGGGGAGTGAATAGGATGGTAGTCCGGGAGGCAGGGGAAGGAGAGCGAAAAGGGTCGTTGGGGGCTCACCTTGCTCGATCTCGTTCTCGCGTTCTGCCAGCTGCTCGAAGTCGCGGATGATGGCGCGGGCCGCCAGGTGGTGGAAGGTTTCGCTCCAAAGGTCGGCGTCCTGCAGGCCGTCGGGTTCCCGGCCCGGGGGCCCCAGCTCGAAGCTCACCTCCCATTGCAGCCTTTGGCTGTCGCACAAACCTTTGACCACGGCCTTGCCTACCACGGGGCCTGGGGTGGTGGGACTGCGGGACTCGGCCGGGGGCTCCCAGTCCGAGAATGTCTCGGTCTCAAAGGCGAAGGAGGGGTGATGGGACGGCTCTGGAGTGGGGAGAGACAGGGCCGTGCACAGAGCGTGGAGACAGATCGCCAACTTTTAAAGGGCATCATTCTTCTTAAGCAAAGTCAGCCCTCGCTTACCAAGGAACAGAGGACAGCTGGGGTGGGATGGGATTGTTCTCAAGAGATGGACAGGGCCACAACCTAGGAAGACTGTCTACCTGACGGGACCAAACAGGGTGGGGTGAGGGCACCCACGAGCGAGCACAGAATGCAGTTTCAGGGCCCATATGTTTGGTGAGGTTGGAAAGACATGGACATCTGCAGACAGAGCCTGTCACCTGCAGCTGTGCCACAGCTAAGTATTCCGCCCTGTCCTCAGTCAAGTTCCAGACCCTCTGGGCACTTACCCAAGTCCCCAGGGCTGCGGCTTTCTGAGGCAGGCTTCAGGCTGGACCCAGGATTCAGCTCCCCCATGGGGCTCCAGGTCTGGGAGTCAGGGCCTGAGGGCAGGAAGGGCTGGCAGCCTTGGGGTAGCAGAGAGGGCCTTCGGGCCCCTGGGCCCTGGAGTTTGGGGCCCTGGCTCAGATCCAGGCCACTGTTCAGCAAGGGCTGTGAGGGCAAGAGGAGGAAGAGGCAGCTGAGCCTAGGTGGCTAGAACCCCCCTTGCCCTCCATGCCCAGTCCCTAGCCCCAGCTCTTTTCCTGGGCACTTAACAACAGACCTTCCTAGCATTTGCCCTTCTAGTACCCAGGAGGACATGACCCACTTTCAATTGCCAATGAGAAACATCAACACGAACAATCTCAAACCATGGAAAACCATGGTAAATCCATACCACTTGATTTTTTGCCATGGAGTTTAAATCTTTGTGTGTCTGTGTAGTTAAAATTACCAACCTTTCCCTTATGTCTTCTCATATGTTATGCTTAGAAAGATTTTCCCTATTAAAAAAATTTTTTTTATAGAATTTTGTGATTTCATTTTTTATATGGTTATATGTTGAAATTATTGATTCACATGAAGTTTTATTTTGGTATAAGGAGATAGGAACCAGCTTTGCACTTCATTTTCCAAATGACTCAAATTGGAACACCATTTATTGGATATATGCTTTGTTCATTGAATTCCTACACTTTTTCAGCTCCCTGCTATCCTGACAAAGCTTATATGTACATTTGCTTTTGTTTCTGAACTCTCTGTTTTATTTTGTTGATTTAATTTGGTTAGTCTTGTGCTAAGGTGCGCTGGTGGTGCGATGGCTAAGCACTTGGTGGCTAAAGATCAGCAGTTTGAACTCATCAGCTGATCCATGGAAGACAAGACCTAGAGACCTGCTCCTGTAAAGATCACAGCCTTGGGAAGTCTCTGTTGTTGTGGTTACGTGCCATTGAGTCAATTCTGACACATAGTGACCCTTATAGTGTCCAAGGGGCAGCTGGTGAGCTTGAAATGGGGCAGTGTGAATTCACTTAATAGCACTTAACAACAACAATGACTACGGAAGAACGTAGAAGAAATAATGCATTTGAGTTACGGTGCTGGAGTAGAATATTGAAAGTACCATGAACTTCCAGAAGAACAAGCAAATCTGTATTGGAAGAAGTACAGCCAGAATGCTTCTTAGAAGCCAGGATGGTGAAACTTGATCTTTCATACTTAAGACATATTATCAGGAGGGACCAGTCACTGGGGAAGGACATCATGCTTGGTAAAGTGGAAGGTCAGAGAAAAAGAGAAAGCCCTCCAATGAGATGGATTGGCACAGTGGCAGCAACAATGGGCTTAAGTGTTAACTACAATTGTGAGGATGGTACAGGACTGGGCAGTGTTTCGTTCTGTTGTAGGAAGGGTTGATATGAGTCAGAATTTGACTTCATGGCACCTAACAACAGCAACAACAGTCTTATGCTGGTACAAAATTTTTTTTAAAAGTTAAGTGGTAAACTGGGAAATATATTTGCAACACACATGACAGATCAGTTTCAACAAAAAGCTTTTGTAAATCATTGGAGGAAAATAAACTCAGTTGAATAGTGAGTCAAGGGCTTTTACAGACAGTTCGTAGAAAAATATATCCAATAAACCCCTGAAAAAATGCTCAATCTCATAAAAAATTTGTTAGCTGTGGTTAAATCAGTGACCCCATGACGACAGAATTAAATGTTGCTCGGTCTTTCCCCATCCCCATGATTAGTTTCAGATGGAGCCGTTGGGATCCATAGGGTTTTCATTGGCTGATTTTCGTCAGTAGGCAACCAGGCCTTTCTTTCTACTCCATCATAGGCTGGATGCTCCACTTACAGCTGTTCAGCTCCATAGCCCCACACAAGACTCCAGTGATGGACAAGCTGTGCATGAGGTGTTTATTGTTGGGAATGGAATCTGGGTCTCCTGCATGGATTATGTAAATTCTGCAACTGAACCACCCATCCATGCATGCCTTATCAATGTAAACGGAAACAGGTTACTTTTTTGCTATTGTCCATCTTGGAGATTCGTAAATATTTAAGCTTTGATGACACTCAGGGTGGTCAGCTAGGAGATAGAGGCTCTCAAGCATTGTTGGTAGGTGGTGCATGTTTGTGGAAGAGCAGTTTAGCAATCTACGTGAAAAATGCACATACCCCGTTGACCTGGTACTTTCACTTTTAGAATTTAATTTTGTGGAAATAGTCATACGACTGAGCAAAAATCTATGTGTAAGTATAATTGTTGCAAAGTGGAAAATCTGTGAATTATTTAAATGTCATAAATTAAAAAGGAGCTCTGGTAGTGTAGTGGTTACGAATTGGGCTGCTAATCATACGGTCAGCAGTTTGAAACTACCAGCTGTTCTGCGGTAGAAAGATGAGGCTTTCTGCTCCTGTAAAGATTTACAGTCTTGGAAACCCTGTACAGAGTTGCTATGAGTCAGAACTGACTCCACAGCACATAACAACAACCACAACATCAATGAAAAAAAATCCAGTTGCCATCAAGTCAATTCTGACTCCTAGAAACCTGGATGTATCAGAGTAGACCTGTGCCCCACAGGGTTTCCAATGGCTGCTTTTTCAAAAGTAGTTCTCCAGGCTTTTCATCTGAGACGCAGCTGAGTAAACTCAAATCTCCAACTTCTTCATCAGCACTTGATCTTGTTAACCATTTGTGCCTTTCAGGGACTCCATGTCCACCAATTGTTGTCTGGTAGGTGCTAGTATGTTGATTTTCAACTTAATATGACCCTGTATGACAGAGTAGAAAGACCCTGTAGGGTTTTGTAAACTGTAATCTTTGTGGGAGCAGATCACCGGGTCTTTCTTCCTCAGAACTTCTAATCATCCCCCTCTGGTTAGCAGTTGAGTGCATTAATCATTTATAACACCAAGGGAATGCATGTCCATCAATGGTGCTGTTAAGTGCCATGGTGTCAGTTCCGAGGAGTGGCTGGTGGGTTTGAATCTTGCAGTTAGCAGTCTAGTGCTTATCCTGCAGTACTCCATGTCCATCAATAGCAACTGGCAAATGGGAATCCTGGTGAGGTGCTGTGGGTTAATGCGCTGGACTGCAAATTCATTTGAACTGCAAAGTCAGGGTTCAAGCTTACTAGCCACTCTTTGGAAACCCTATACAGGGTTAGAACCAACTTAATGACACTTAACAACAACATGTAATATACGGTGTGGCGCTGTGGGTTAACGCGTCAGACTGCAAAGCCATTTGAACTGCAAGGTCAGTGGAGCTCACCAGCTGCTCCTCAAAAACTCTATACAGGGCCGCTATGGGTCAGAACCGACTCGATGACACTTAACAACAGAAACAATGTAGTATAAAGAGTCCTGGTGTGGCATCTATGTAATATAATGGAGTCCTGGTATGGCGCTCTATGATAAGCACTGGACCTCAAGGTTGGCTTGAACCACAAGGTTGGTGTTTCAAACTTACCAGCTGCTCCTCAGAAACCCTATACAGGGTCGCTATAAGTTGGAACCGACTTGATGGCACTAACAACACCAACAAATGTAATATAATACCACACAACACAACACAACACAACACAACAAGGAGCATGTATATCTCATCGTACCAGTACAGAGTGATGTTCCAGATGACACTTACTTTAAAATAGTGAATTCATATTTTGAGTGTGGTGATTGTTACATGAATAGATGCATTTATCAAAACTCATAGAACTATTCAGCAAAGAGTAATTTTACTGTCTGTGGAAATAAAATAATTAAAAAGACAATATAAAGTAAATTGGAGAGCAACCTTACAATATGATTTTTTAAAACATATACACATGCATATGTACATTGTATATGTGTGTGAATATGTAATATTTCTAGGAGAAAACTAGGCACAGGGAAGGAGAACACTTAGTTTTACTGTAGTCTCAACTGAACTGTTTGAAGGTTTTTAGTTCAAACTCTGATATATAAATATTAAGGCTCCTGAGTGGTGCTGGCCACCACTCGTCTGTCAGTTTGTCATACTGTGGTGGCTTGCGTGTTGTTGTGACGCTGGATGTTATGCCACCACTATTTTAATTACCAGCAGGGTACACCTATGAGTCAGGGACTTAACAACAACAGCAAGGAAGACCAATTAATACCACTATTGTTCAAATTTACCCACCAGCTACTAAAGCCAATAATGATGAATTGAAGAATTCTACCAACTTCTTTAGTCTAAAATTGATCAAACATGCAATCAAGATGTATTGATAATTACTTCCGATTGAAATGCAAAGATTGGTAGCAAAGAAGAAGGATCATTGGAAAATATGGCCTTCGTTTGATAGAAATGATGTTGGAGATCGCATTGCAGAATTTTGAAAGCCCAATGACTTGTTTCTTACAAATACCTTTTTAAAACAACATAAAAGATGGCTATACACATGGACCTCACCGGATGAAATACAAAGTTATAAAATTGATTACATCTGTGGGAAAAGGCAGTGAAACAGCTCCTTATCATCAACCAAAACAGGCCAGGGGCAGAACGCGTAATAGACTATCAGTTGCTCAAATCCAAGTTCAGGCTGAAGTTGAAGAAAATTAAAACAAGTCCACAAGAGCCAAAATATGACCTGGGACATATCCCACCTGAATTGAGAGAGCATCTCAAGAACAGATTTGATTCAGTGGACACTAATGACCAAAAACCAGAAGAGTTATGGGATGACATGAAGATCATCATATGGGAAAAAAGCAACAGGTCATTTAGAAGACAAGAAAGAAGGAAAAGATCAAAATGGTGTCATAAGAGACTCTGAAACTTGCTCTCCAGTGTAGAGATAGCTAAAGCAAATGGAAGAAATGAGTAGGTTTGAAAAGAGCTGAATAGAAAATTTCAAAGAGCAGCTCAAGAAGAAAAAGTCAAGTATTATAATGAGGTGTGCAAAGACCTGCAGGTAGAAAAGCAAAAGGGAAGAATATGCTCAACAATTCTTAAGCTTAAAGAACTAAAGAAGAAATTCAAGTCTCAACTTGAAGGACTGTATGGGCAAAATACTCAATGATGCACAACGTATTAAAAGAAGATGGAAGGAATACACAGAGTCACTGTAACAAAAAGAAATGGACAATGTTCAACCATTTGAAGAGGTAGCATATGATAAAGAGCCAATGGTCCTGAAAGAAGAAGTGCAAGGTGCACTGAAGGCATTGGCAAAGAACAAAGCTCTGGGAATTCATAGAACACAAATTGAAATCTTCCAACAAACTTAATTAGCACTGGACGCACTCATTTACGCCAAGAAACTTGGAAGACAGCTACCAGGCCAACTGATGAGAAGAGATCCATATTTGTGTCTATTCCAAAGAAAGGTGACCCAATGGAATGCAGAAATCATCCAACAATATCATTAATATCACATGCAAATAAAATTTTGCTAAAGATAATTAAAAAAATGGCTGCAACAGTACATTGATAGGGAACTGCCAAAATTCAACCCAAATTCAGATGAGGATGTGTAACAAGGGATATCATTGCTGATGTCAGATGGATCTTGGGTGAAAACAGACAACACCAGAAAGATGTTTTCCTGTGCTTTATTGACTATGCCAAGGCTTTTGATCGTGTGGATCATGACAAGCCATGGACAACATTGAGGAGAATGAGTATTCTGGAACACTTAATTGTGCTTATGAGAAACCTGTACACAGACCAAGAGGCAGTTGTTTAAACAGAACAAGGGGACACTGAATGGTTTAAAAATAGGAAAGGTGTGTGCCAGGGTAGTAGTCTTTCACCATACTAACTCAATCTGTATGCTGAACACATAATCCAAGAATCTGGATTGTATGAAGAAGAAGGTGGCATCAGGATTGGAGGAAGATTTATGAACAACTTGCGATATGCAGATGATGCAACTTTGCTGAAAGCAACGAGGACTTAAAATATTACTGATGAAGATCAAAGACCACAGCTTTCTGTATGGGTTGCACCTCAATGTAAATAAAACAAAAATCCTCACTACTGGACCAATATATAACATCCATACAAATGGAGAAAAGATTGAAGTTGCTAAAGACTTCATTTTGCTCAGATCAACCATCAACACTCATGAAAACCGTAGTCAAGAAATAGAGCAACATATTGCATTAGGCAAATTTGCTGCACAACACCTTTTTCAAGAGTTGAAGAGCAAAGATACCAGTTTGAGGACAAAGGTACACTTGACCTAAGCCATGGTATTTTCATGGCAAAGTTGTTGTGTTTTTGTTAAGTGCTGTTGAATTGGTTCAGTAAATCTTTACAACACCAGATAGGTTCACCTTTCTCCAATGGAATTACTGGAGGGTTAGAATTTCTGACCTTGAAGTTGGCAGTCCAGTGCTTAACCTACAGCACTACTGTTCTTGTCAGGTGCTGTCGAGTTAGTTCCAACTCATAGCAACTGCACAACAGAACGAAACACTGCATGGTCCTGCACCAACCTCACAATCACTACTACACTTGATCCCCTTGCTGCTGCCACAGTGCCAATCCATCTCCTCGGGGGTCTTCCTCTTTTTTACTGACCCTCCTCCACTTAACAAGCATGATATCCTTCTTTAGGGACAGGCCTCTCCTGGTAAGACATCTGCACTGTGAGAGACAAAGTCTGGCACTCCTGACTTGTGACTGTGCCTCTTCCAACACAGATTTGTTTGTTCTTTGGGCAGTTCATGGTACTTTTAATGTTCTCCTTCAACACCATAACTAAAATGCATCAGCTCTTCGAACACCTTCTTTACTCACTGGGATAAAGCACAGGACTGCAGGTTGGCTTGAACCACAAGGTCAGCAGTTCAAACTCACCAGCCACTCCTTGGAAACCCTAAACAGCATCACTATGAGTTGGAGTTGACTTGATGGGAGTGGGTTGGGGGTGGACAAAGGTATGGGAGGAAAGGCTTCACAACTCTCAGGATGGTTTCAGTAAGAACTGGTATTCAGGCCCAGCTGCTCCATCCCAGGTGACCACTTAACTCTCCCCATCCCCCTGCCCCAATGAGAAACTGGGATTCCCTGGACCTCTGCTCCATCATCATCACTAGTCTGGGTCAACAAAGACAGGGACAGAAGCTGCTGTGGTTTTCTTGGCAACAGAGTAGCCTAAGATCCAGACTTTCACTCTGTCAGGGGTTGCAGTGACTGTGTGTGTGTGATTGCAAGTGTGTTGGGGAGAATCAGAGACAGGGAGAGGAAAACAGATGAGCTGAGGGAGAAATGAGCAAAGATGGGTTGAACAGCATGGAGAGAAGAGAAGTCAGCTTGCTCAGAACTCTTGCCAAGACAGAGCTGCCATTTATGTGTGCCAGTGTGGTGCAAATGATTAATGCTCTGGGCTGCTAACCTAAAGGTTGGGTGTTCCAGTCCCCCTAAAACACTCAGAAGGAAGGTTTGGCAGTCTAAATCTGAAACATCAGTCATCAAATATCCTATAGAGCACAGTTCTACTCTGACAACATGAGATTGCCATCTACTCAAAAGCAACTGGCAGCTGTCTACCAGTGCTGCTGCCCCAGGCACTTTGCCTCTTGTCAGCCAATTCCTGGAAGAGAGTGCCATTTAGAGCTGGTTCCCAATAAATAGTGGCACAAAGCATTCTCCTTGCATAGTTGAAGAAGTTGGTGTTCAGAGAAGTTTTGTAACGTATTTGAGGAGCAGAGTCACCGCAGGGACCAGTTGGCATTGTCTCTGCCCTTAGGGAGTGGTTGTGGTTGTGATTAAGTGCTGTCGAGTCGGTTCTGAACCATAGCGACTCTGTAAAGGGTTTCTGAGGAGCAGCTGATGAGCTTGAACCACCGACCTTGCGGTTCAAACTGACTTTGCAGTCCAGTACATTAACTCCAGTACATCGCCATACCAGGGCTCCTCAGGGAGTGGTTGATCTCATTAACAAGTGTATATGTGGCAGGATTGTTGAGCCAAAGGTGAAGGGTGCTGGTTGAGCTGGAATTAGATACCCAGAGTGGAGTGAAAGACTATTTTTTTTTTTTTTTAGTAGAACCAGCGTCTCAAAGACAAATCTGTATAAAGGCTACATTCTTAAGCAAGTGAGATAAAACCTGCAGACAAAACCAATCAGAGATAATTTTGCCTCCCTCCCCTATGGGACATTTGGCCATGTCTGCAGACAGTTTTGCTTGTCACAACTCTGGGGAAGGGTGATGTTGTTGCTAGTATCTAGTGGGTAGAGGCCAAGGAGGCTGGTAAACATTATACAGTGCACAGGACAGCCATCACAATGAAGAACTAACCCATCAGGTGCTGTTGAATCAATTGTGACTCACAGCAACTCTATTTGTGCCAGAGTAGAGCGATACTTTACAGGGTTTTCAGTGGCTGATGTATTTGAAGTAGATTGTTGTTGTTGTAATGTGCCGTGGAGTCGGTTCTGACTCATAGCGACCCTGTACAGGGTTTCTGAGGCTGAGGTACCTCTAGGTGGATGCACACCTAGAACCTTTTGGTTAACAGCTGAGCACATTAACTGTTTACACCACCCAGAGAGTCTAAACAAAGAATTCTCTGGTGTGGCGCTGCGGTTAATGTTCTGGACTGCACGGTTGGTTTGAACTGCAAGGTCAGTGGTTCAAGCTCACCAGCCACTCCTTGGCAACCCTCTACAGGGTCACTATGTGTCAGTACTTAACAGCTCGATGGCACTTAACAACAACAAATGTCAGTGGTGCAGAGATTGATAAACCCTGGGTTAGCAGGACAGTGGGTGGCCATACCTGCTGGGGCTCTAGCTCTCAAATCATTGCTCTTCTGAGTGAATGTGCAACCCCTGGGATTTGTAGGAGGAACAATGTGAGACAAGCAGGTTGCAGGTGGGGGAGCAGGAAGGCGACAAGTGAAGGCTTTGAAGGCAGAGGCACCTGGGTTAGAATTCCCTGATCCTGTGACCCTTGTTAAGTTACTTGCTACTTTCCCAGTATTTCCATATCTGTATAAGCCTCATACTCCTGAGTGGATGGGAATGCTCTCTGACTATTGGAAGAAGAAGTCAGCCTGTCCAGAGTTCTTACCAAAATAGAGTGTCCACTTATAGGACACCTATACATGGTGTTTCAAACTGACTGCTTGGCAACCAGTTGGGTGTTTTGGTTTACTGTGTGCCAGGTGTTGCCCTAAGCTCTCCATTGCTTATTAGTGTACCTCTGGAAGAGTGCTCCACTTACATAGTGGTGCACCTAGATGGGTCAAGTGACCTCATAGAATGTTGGGTATCATTATTAGGAAGATGGTGCTAGGGGTCAGGCAGAAGAAGGTCCAGAAAAGGGAAGAAGAGTGGATCACTTCCCAATATAAGTTGTGGACAGACCTGTCCTTGTGGTTGGAGTAGGAGACATCGTTATCCCCATGCATGGCCACCACAATCCCTCCCCAGACTTCCTGGCTTGAGTACCTTTAAATTGATCTGCCACCGCTGGGTATCCTTGCTGGTCTGGTTGGTAAGGTCCTGCAGCTTGGCTTTCCGGAGTGGGTATTTCCTGGCCATTGCTGTGGGATCGCTGGCCGTGGCAGCCCTTGGAGAGGGCTTAGAGTTGGAGATCTGGTTGGTGCTGTATGCCCTCCTTCGCTGGGATAGGATCAAATCTGGGGTAGGGGTGGGGTGGTGGCAGGGAAGCCACGAGGGTGGAGGACAGTAGGGAAAAAGAGAGATGGGTTTGCATGCTCCTTTCCTGCTTGGAAACATCTGAAATTTCCCACTGCTTGGCAACTGAAATATGTGTAATACCTCATATGACATTTGAACCCTTGCCCTATCTGACTGTAGTCCATCTTTCTAGCTACTCCTTTTTTAAGTACCATATGCGCTGAACACATGATATGAGCCAACTGTTTGTAGTTATGTTTTCTAGGTGCCATACCGCTCCACCTTTGCTCAGGTAGTGTGTGCTGCCTGGGGTCCCCTGTCCCTTTCCTCATCAAGCCTTTGGTGATTTCCTCCACCAGATGTGCCTCTCTGGGGCTTTTCTGCTCTGCTTTCTCTCTGAGTCAAGGCTGGCCAGATTCTCACACTAGATGGAAAGCTCCTGAAGGGTGGGGGTCATGAGGGAGTCACCTTTGCTTCCCAGGCTGCACTCAGTATCCACCCTTAGTAAGTGGCCACTCACTTCCTTCAAATGGAAACTAACACTAGCTTTGGAGTCAACCAGTCTAGACCCTAGCTGGGTCAGAATGATTCTTATAAGCGAAGATGGTAAGATTTCTGCTCTTTAATTTAGACATATCATCAGGAAATACCAGTTTCTATTAAAAGGACATCGTGTTTGGTAAAGTGGAAGGCCAGAGAAACGGAGCGAAACCCTCAAGGAGAAGGACTGGCACAAAAGCCGAACAATAGACTTAAGCATGCTAACGAGCACAAAGATGGCATAGGACCCGGCAACACGTTGTTCTTTTATATGTAAGGTCACCATGAGTTGGAGTCAAATTGATAGCAACTAACAACAATCTCTTTCAAGTTCCAAGCCTCAGTTTTCTGATCTGTATAATGGGTACAAGAGTACTCCTCTCTACAGCTGCGAACGAGTCAATGGAATTGTTATAAAATGCTTAGCACATAGTAAGTGCTCAATAAAAGGCAGCACTCGGTGCCTTTCTGCAAAGGGGAGCAGGCACACAGAGCAGGAGACTCACTAGGGTTGGTGGTGGACTTCCAGGAGTTTTTGGTCTGCAGGCTGAAGGGTGCCCCCAAGCTTTTGGTGTAGTCTCTGCTGTCTGGGCTGGGCCCCTCGTCCTGTGACTGGTAGAAGACAGAGCTGCCAGACTCCTGTGAACGCAGCATGCTGTACCGTCGCCTCTTGTCCTAGACAGGGGAATCAAAAATAGACTGGGAATGAGGCTAGATGTTAGGAAGCACTTCCAGGAGGTAGCAAGAAGTGTGAGAGGAGGGGGTGGGGTTCTATTTCTGAAGAACTGGCATTATAGGCAAGTTTTTTGTCTGCTTGGGCAATTTAGGCAGACTTTGGTGTAGGAGAAGCACTTGATTGCTAATGTAAAGGTTGGCAGTTCAAACTCACCATCTGCTCTGTGGGAGGAAGATGAGGTTATCTGCCCCCATAAAGATTTACAGTCTAGGAAACCCTATACAGGATTGCAATAGTTGGAATAGACTTCATGGCAGTGGGCTTGGGTTTTGAGCTTTCTGTTCAGGAGATGACAAATGGAATTGTCTTTTCATATCACTTATGTTATTTACATTTTTTTTCATAAGAGTTAAATACTTAATACCTGGGGAAAAGATGAGGCTTTCTGCTCCTGGAAAGATTTACAGTCTTGGAAACACTATACGTGTTGCTATGAGTCAGAACTGACCTGACACCACTCAATAACAATCTTACTCCTGAAGTGATGCAATAGGATCAATACTGGACTGAGAACCACAAGGCTGGCAGTTCAAACGCACCAGCTGCTCCTTGGAAACCCTGTACAGGGCCACTATGTGTTGAACCTACTCAATGGCACTTAGCAACAACACTTACTACGTATTTAGGGATTAACTCCTGTCTGTGTTTTGATGAATCTACTTTGTAATACAGAGTATCCCAAGTGTGATTTGACTTGCCCCTTCCCTAATTCCCTATTTCTCTCACCTCTAGCCCCTGTTGTTGCTGTTAGGTGTTACTGAGTTAATTGTGACTCACAGTGATCCCATGTGTCAAAGTAGACCTGCTTCATAGGGTTTCCTAGGCTGTAATCTATAGCAAAGTGGTTACAAATAGACCTGCTAATCTCACGGTCAGCAGTTCGAAACTACTAGCTGTTCTGTGGGAGAAAGATGAGGCTTTCTGCTCTCATAAAGATTTATAGCCTCGGAAACCCTGTACAGGGTCGCTATGAGTCGGAACTGACTCCATGGCACATAAAAACAACAACAATCTTTATGGGAACCTTGGTGTGACGTTGTAGGATAAGCAGTTGACTGCAAGGTCAGTGGTTCAAATCCACCAGCTGCTCCTCAGAAACCCTATACAAGGTCGCTACGAGTCAGATCTGACTCCATGGTCCTTAACAACAATAACAGCAATCTTTATGGGAGCAGATTGCCAGATCTTTTCTCTCCCACATTGAAGAGAAATTGCTGACCTTTATGCTTTAACCACCCACAGCCAGTGGTCATAACTAATCTTTTTATCTTGGTAGATTTACCTATCCTAGACATTCCATTTAATGGGATAGCACAGCATTTGTTCGTGCCTAACTGATTTCACACAGTAGAATGTTTTCCAGGTTCATCCATCTTTATGGCTGTATAATACTCCATTGTAAAGATATACCCCAGTTTGTTTATCCATTCATTCGTCTTGTTGATGAGCATTTGTGTTGTTTCCAGGCTTTCCCTATTGTGAATAATGCCTCAATGATCAATTGGGTACATGGGTCGGTTTGAGTCACAGTTATTCATTCTTCTGGGTATTTACCTAGGAGTGGAATTGCTGGGTTATATGGTAATTCTATGTTGTTATTGTTACTTTTAATTTTTTATGTCTTTCTTTATGGGTTTTAAAAAAATTAATTATAAATGCTTCTCCTGTCCCAAAACAGCTAATAAAAATGAACAAAATGAACCATATGTTCTCTCCATCCTTTTTTCCATGATATGTGTACATGTCTCTATCTAATTCTCTATAAAGTAGATAAACTTTTGGGGATTGAAATTGGGATACTGAGAAATGGGGGGACAAAAAAGTTTTAACTAGCCTAAAGTAAAACAAAACCTGAATTTATTTGTTGTTAAGTGCTGTTGAGTCAATTCCGACTCATAGCGACCCTGTATAGGGTGTCCAAGGAGCTGCCAGTGGGTTTGAACTGCCAACTTTATGGTTTGCAGTCCAATGCTGATCCACACAAACTTGAATAGCCATCTGAAAATAGTAGTTATAGTTAAAATTTAACTCCCTCCTTAGCTAACATCCCATAATTAATTACTCCTTTTCAATCTACAAAGCAGAACTTGTGGCTCAAATGAGGGGGGCAATTCTTCTCCCAAGAACAAATGCAAAATCAGCAAATAGGAATTGCTGAAACAGTCACTATGTTCGGGACACAAATACTCTAACTTCTGACCCAATTGTCGTAACTACTGAAATAGAAAAAACAATATGATGCCTGACCACAAGTTTTGGGATCTTGATATTCTTGCCTTAGAAACTCCAGGCTACCCTCTAGTTAGAGAGGCTGATCTGGGCTATTCCAGCTCCTCTGTCCTCTTGTGTAGTGATATACAACAAATGCTTTGCTCTTTGTTCTGAGTCCTGTCTCTAAATGATGGTTGTGTTAGTGGCAGGTGATGAATAAACTCCTTTTGCGGTTACAGGATCATTTTCACTTTGCAAAAACTGGATCTTATTACTTACATTTACCAGTATCTTGAATTTTTCAAGGAGTCTCTAGGTTGTGTAAATGGTTAATGTGCTAAGATGCTAACTAAAAGGTTGGAGATTCAAGCCCATCCAGAAGAAATGACTGGCCATCTACTTCCTGATAACTAGTCATTGAAAACTCTGTGGAACATGGTTCTACTCTGACATACATAGGATTACACTGAATTGGAATTGATTTGACAACAACTGGATTTGAGTTTTGCAATTAATAACTTTTAGGAAAATTCTCATGTGAATCATCCTTTTAAACCTTCGTTGTTGTTGTTAAGTGCTGTCGAGTTGATTCCTACTCATAGAGAGTACACCCTGTACAGGGTTTCCAAGGAGCAGCTGGTGGGTTTGAACCACCAACCTTGTGGTTCACAGTCCAGTGCTGATCCCATGGCACCACACCAGAAGTCCAATATTCCACCACCCTCTATTGTTAAACATTCATTTTGTGGCCATTTATTCTTGGCATCATTAAAAATGCTACAACAAATATTTGGACACAAATCCAGTGCATTGCCTTTCTTTCTAAGGACTGGATTCCTAGGAGAAGGATTTCTTGGTTAAAAGATATATGTATTTCTATATTTATTAGATACTGTTAGATTGGCAAGTTATGCTTACACCAACAAGGGATGACTACATCCTTTACCCCAAATCCCTACCAGTAACAGATGAAAATGTTGCCAGTCTCATGGGTAAGAAGAGAAGAGATATGATGACTTTGTTGGGTCCCTTCAAATGGTAGGGTCTGTTGATGATCCATTTCCTGTCACACCTCTGGGTCTTGGACTGTTAACCAGCATTTTGTTTAGTCCCTCTAGTTCAATACTACACTCTCCATAACACATGAACTGTTACCTTGATCATGGTGTAGTGGTATGCTGTCCAGTCGGTTCTGACTTATTACCTTCATCATTGTTCTCAATATTCAAAACTCTGGAAATTTCACATAAAATTCCAATGTCTTTTGAAAAATTGGATGCACATTTAGCACAGGGCTCACAATCCTGCATGACAACAGTTTTCTGAAGCCAAGTAGGGACTTCTTCAATTTAGACAGGGCATATGCTATTCAATTTGCCATCTTTGCCACCACTTCTTTTTCCCACCAATTATGAACTCAGTGATAATGGCCATTCATCATGGCAGTTGCACCTTTTATTTTTATATTGATTTCATTCATTTCATACCTGCCTGATCCTTCTAGGCATTTGACTTTGTGGATCCTGCTGGAAAACAAAACAAAATGGGAAATCTTTCGAGGGGAGAGTAGAGAGATTCACTAACAATGAAAGATGGGCAAGGGAACAGTTTCCCAGGCAATCTGCCATATTTCAGCAAGATTTTTCCCTCCCTTTAAGAAGTCCCTTACTTTATCCCTCTTCTGCCACCACATAAAATGCAGTTATTTACATAAATACATAGAACACAAACTCACCTAAGGAGATATGAAGTGTGCATCAGACTTACTTAAAAGAAATTATGTAAAATTCAGATTCCTGGACTTAACCCTTAGGGATTCTTATTCAATAGCAGAGCTTAGGCTCTGTTTTTTATGCAAGCTGTCCAAGTGATTCTGCTGCAGAAATTCTGAGAACTACACTTTGTGATGGTGGCCTCTACCAAAAAGGTACCACCATGACAATGTCTCTGGCCAGGCAATTATACCCCACAACTGTAAACATAGTACCAACTTGTTCCTAACTTCCATGAGTGAAATCATTCCAGCTAAGGATGGCTTTATAGGCATGGGTTCTGGGCCCCCATTAGTCCTTGAAATTTCGAGGATACTTACAGATCTGGGATTGGAGATGTACAAGGAAGCATCACACACAATGCCATATCCCACCAGCCGTTCTCCAGGGAAGAGGGAGCTGGTGCTGACAGGTGAGATCAGAACTTCAGTGGTCTCAGGGAAGACCCACTCCACAGTCACATCACTCAGGACTGGGGCCATGGCTTTCTTCAAGGATTTAACCATCTGTGTGTAAGGTCAAAACACAGGTTGGGGGTATGAGTGTGTAGGGGTGCAGATTAGGAGCATTAAGACCCGTTGAGTCTGAATAAGTGGGAATGTGAGAAGGGAATGACAAGCTACAGGTTGCTTGCTCAGCAGTGAACACAACTCTGACCAATAGATTCCTAGAGAGTCAGAGTTGGAACAGATCTTTGTTATCATCTTCTCTAAGCAAGTTATATCATTATTAGGTGCCATTGAGTCAGTACTGACTCTTAGAAACCCTATGCACAGCAGAATGAACACTGCCTGGTCCTGTATTATCCTTATAATTGTTATGGTTGAGCACATTGTTGCTGTCACTGTGACAATCCATTTTGTTGGGGGTCTTCTTCTTTGCTTCATTGACCCTCCACTTTACCAAGCATGCTATCCTTCCCCAGGGGCTGGCTTCTCCCAATAATATATCCAAAGTATGAGAGATGAAGTCTTTCCATCCTTGCTTCTAAGAAGCATTCTAGCTGTACTTCTTTCAACACAATTTTTTTAATTTTTTATTTCTTCTGGCAGTCCATGGTACTTCACTATTTTTCACCAACACCATAGTTCAAATGCTTCGATTCTTTTCTAGTCTTCCTCATTAATTAATTGTCTAACTCTCACATGCATATGAGGTGATTGAAAATACCATGATTTAGGTCAAGTGCACCATAGTCCTCAAGCTGACATCTTTCTCTTTAACACTTTAAAGAGGCCCTTTGCAGCAGAGTTGCCTAATGCAGTATGCCGTTTGGTTTCTTGACTGCTGCTTTCATGAGCATTGATTGTAGGTCCAAGCAAAAAGAAATCCTTGACAGCTTCAATCTTTCCTTCATTTATCATGATGTTATTTATTGACCCAGATGCGAAGATTTTTGTTTTCTTTACATTGAGGTGCAATTTATACTGAAGTCTGTAGTTTTTGATTTTCATCAGTATTTCAAGTCACTTCCAGCAAGCAAGATTGTGTCATCTGCATATCATAGGTTGTCAATGAGTCTTCCTGATGCCATGTTTTTTTTTTTTTTTTTAATATAATCCATCTTCTTGGATTAAAGGCTCAGCATACAGATTGAATGTTGTTGTTGTTGTTGTCAGGTGCCATCGAGTCAGAACCGACTCATAGCGACCCCATGCACAGCAGAACGAAACAATGTTCGATCCTGGGCAAACCTCACTACCGCTGCCACACTTGAGTCCATCAATGATGCCACCTGGCTGATCCATCTTGTTGGGGGTCTTCCTCTTTTTCTTTGACCCTCCACCCTACCCAGCATGACATCCTTCTCCAGCGATTGTTTCCTCCAGACAATATGTCCAAAGTAGGAGATACGAAGCTTAGCCATCCTGGCCTCCAAGGTGCACTCTGGCTGCACTTCTTCCAAAACAGATCTATTGGTTCTTTTGGCAGTCCATGGCACTTTCAGTTTTCTCCTCCAACACCACAACTCAAAGGCATCAATTCTTCTACGATCCTCCTTATTCACTGTCCAGCTTTCGCATCCATATGAGGCTATTGAAAACACAATGGCCTGGGTCAGGCGCACCCTAGTCCTCAAGCTGACATCTCTGCTCTTCAACACTTTAAAAAGTTCCTGTGCAGCAGATTTGCCCAATACAATACGTCGTCTGATCTCTTGACTGCTACTTCTGCGAGTGTTGATAGTTGATCCAAGAAGAATGAAGTCCTTGACAACTTCAAACAGATTGAATAAGTATGGTAAAAGGATACATTCCTGACACACAACTTTCCTGATTTTAAACTATTCAGTATCCCCCTGTTCTGTACAAGTTCTTCATGAGCACAGTGAAGTGATCTGGAATACTCATTCTTTGCAATGTTACTCATAGTTTGTTATTATCCACACAGTGGAATGCCTTTGCATGTCATTAAATCACAAATAAACTTCTTTCTGGTATTCTCTGCTTTCAGTCACGATCCATCTGGTGTCAGCAATGGTATCCCTTGTTCCATGTCCTCTTCTGAATCTGGCTTGAAATTCTGGCAGCTCCGTGTCGATGCAGTATTGCAACTATTTTTTAATTATCTTCAGCAAAATTTTACTTACATGTGACATTAATGATATTGCTCTATGATTTCCACATTCTATTGGGTCACCTTCTCTTTGGAATAGTCATGAATATAGATCTCTTCCAGTCAGCTGTCCAGGTAGCTGACTTCCAAAGTTCTTGGCATAGATGAGCATGGCATCAGTTTGTTGAAACATTTCAATTGGTATTCCACCACTCGTATGTTGGAGAAGGATGTCATGCTCGGTAAGGTGGAGGGTCAGAGAAAAAGAGGAAGACCCCCAATGAGATGGATCGGCCAGGTGGCATCATTGATGGACTCAAGTGTGGCAGCGGTAGTGAGGTTGGCCCAGGATCGAACATTGTTTCGTTCTGCTGTGCATGGGGTCGCTATGAGTCGGTTCCGACTCGATGGCACCTGACAACAACAACAACAACTCGTATGTCAGTTTGTCATCAGTTCGTCACACTGTGGTGGTTTGTGTGTTGCTGTTATGCTGCAAGTTCTGCCAACAGTACTTTAAATACCAGCAGAGGAATATGGTGGCTCCATAAGATAAGCACTTGACTGTGAACCACAAGATTGGTGGTTTGAGCCCATAAGTGGCTTTGTAGGAGAAAGATGAGGCATTCTGGTACCACAAATATTTAAAGCCTTAGAAATCATACACAGGGTCGCTTTGAGTCAGAATTTACTGAAAGACACTTAACAACAATCCAGGGTTACCCAGGTGAGCAGAGTTTCCAGGCTAAGACTGACTAAGAAGAAGGAAAGGGAAACCACTTTTGAAAAGTTAGTCATTGGAAACCTTATGAATAACAGTGGAACATTGCCTTATATAGTGCCAGAAGATGAGTCCCTTAGGTTGGAAGACACTCAAAATACAACTGGGTGAAAGCTGCCTCCTCAAAGTAGAGTTGACCACACTGGAGCAAAGCTTTCAGGACCTTCATTGGCTGATGAGGCACAACTCAAAATGAGGAGAAACTACTGTGGCTATCCTTTGATAATTGGAATATGGAATGTACAGACTATAAATCTAGGAAAATTGGAACTTGTCAAAAATGAAATGGAACACATAACGATCAATATCCAGGCATTACTGAGCTAAAATAGACTGGTATTGGCCATTTTGAATCTGACAATCATATGGTTTACTATGCCGGAAATGACAAATTCAAGGGGAATGGTGTTGCATTCATTGTCAAAAAGAACATTTCAAGATCCATCTTGAAGTACAATGCTGTCTGTGATAGGATAATATCCATATGCCTACAAGGAAGACCAGCTAATATCACTATTATTCTATTCACATGCTAGCCACTAAAAGCCAGCAGTGATTAAATTGATGAATTCTACAAATTTCTTCAGTCTGAAATGGACCAAACATGTGATCAAGATACATTGATAATTACTGGTGATTGGAATGTGAAAGTTGTAAACAAAGAGGAAGTCGTTGGAAAATAAGACCTTGGTGATAGAAATGATGCTGGAGATCTCACGATAACATTTTGCAAATTTTTTTTCAACAACATAAATGGGAACTATACACTGTACCTCATCAGATGGAATATACATTACACCTGTGGGAAGAGAAGGTGGGAAAACTCCATATCATCAGCCAAAACAAGGCCAGGTGGTGACTGTGAAACAGACCATCAGTTGCTGGACAAGTGAGTCCAGACTGAAGTTAAAGAAAATGAAAACAAGTCCAAAATATGACCCCTAGTATATCGCACCCAAATTTAGATACCATCTCAGTAACAGATTTGATGCATTAGGCACTGGTGACAGAAGACCGGAAGAGTTGTGGGATGAAATCAAGAACATCATCTATTAAGGAAACAAAAGATCATTAAAATGACAGGAAAGAAATAAAAGACCAAAATGAATGTTAAAAGAGACTCTGAAATTTGCTCTTGAGCTTAGATAAGCTAAAGTGACTGGAGGGGGAGGAGGAAGTGAAAGAGTTGAACAGAAAATTTCAAAAGGCAGCTCAAAAAGACACAGTAAAGTCTTACAATGAAATGTGCAAAAACCTGGAGCTAGGAGAACACATTCAGCATTTCTCAAGCTGAAAGAACTGAAGAAAAAAAATTCAAGCCCCGATTTGAGATTCTGTGGGTAATATACTGAATGATGCAGGAAGTATCAAATGAATATGGAGGGACTAAACAGAGTCATGGAGTTCTGGTGTGGCGCCATAGGACAAGCACTCATCTCAAGGTCAGTTTAAACCTCAAGGTTGGCGGTTCAAACTCACCAATCGCTCCTTGGAAACCATATACAGGTTGCTATGAATCGCAATGGACTCCAACGACATGTCGACAATAAACAACACAGAATCACTGTACCAAGGAACATGCCAGTGCTCAGTCATTTCAAGAGGTAGCACATGATAAAGAATGGAAAGTATTGAAGGCAGAAGTCCAAGCTGTATTGAAGGCATTGGTGAAAAACAAGACTCCAGGAATTGAGGAAATAGAAATTGAAATGTAAGCTTATTTATAGGTTTAGTATCTGATAAACAAGAAGACTGAAGATCAAAGTAGATCTGTGACTTTCCCAAGACCACACAAAATATTATGTCAAAGCATAGACCAGCTGATGATCTTGAACAAGTTTATTTGCTTCTCTGGGCCTTACTTTCATCTTCTATTAAATTGGTTTAGTAATCCTTGACTCTCAATGTAGTTGAGAGGATTATCTGGATACTCTATATGAAGTATCTGACATGTGCTAAGTGTTTCAGTAAATAATAGCTGTGGTTTAGCGAAATATCTTCTAGGTTTGTTTCCCCTGATGTATGACAAAAATGGCAAAAAAAAAAAAAAAAAAAAAAAAAAAGCTTTGGGATGTGGTAGCCATGGAGACATGCTGCCCTAATCTGCCTACAAGAAAGGACATGCCATTTTACTGCAAGGAATGCAGTTAGGTGAAGCTTCTAGGTGCTCCAGCTTTTGAACCAAGACCACATTTCTTCCTGGAAGCCTTCAACCCGTGACTGAGCATGGTGGGGACACTAGTGCCAGGCCATTTCTTTCCATTGCAGACTCCTTTAACAGGCAATCTGATTGAGAACTTCCTGTCATGTTGGCTGAAACTTTGTCAGATGGGTATCACAGTCTGAGGCTCTCCTTCCTTGCCCATTCTGATCTCTTTCCTTTCTTTTAGCAGGTGTTGGATCTGCATCATGGATTGAAGACAATTCCTTCCTGTTTTCTCATTTTTAGTTGTTCATAGACATTGTTGTTTTTGTTAAGTGCCATCAAGTTTGTTCCAACTCATAGTGACTTGGTATAGGGTTTCCAAGAAGTGGCTGGCGGGTTAGAACCACCAACCTTGTGATTAGCAGTCCAATGCTTAGCCTATAGCACCACTTTTGTTGCTGTTGTTTTTAAGTGCTGTTGAGTCGGTTCCAACCTATAGCAACTCTGTATAGGGTTTCCTAGGAGCAGCTGGGGAGCTTGAACCACCAACCCGTGGTTCAAACCGACTTTGCAGTCTAACACATTAACCTGCAGTGCCACACCAGGTTAGAACCACAGAAGGACTTTATTAAACCTCTTGCACTCTTTGATTCTCAGAGAACCTGGGTTGATGCAAGAGCTTTCTAATGGTTAGAGAATTTGTGCCAATTGCACAGACAAATGGAAAGAAGACTATTGTTGTTGTTGTTGTTAGGTGCCATCAAGTTGGTACCAACTCATATCAACCTATGCACAACAGAACGAAACACTGCCCCATCTTGGGCCAACCTTACTACTGTTGCCATCAATGCTGCAACTTGGCCAATCCATTTCGTTGGAGGTCTTCCTCTTTTTCTCTCACCCTCCACCTTACCAAACATAATATCCTTCTCCAGCAACTGGTCCCTCCTGACAATATGTCTGAAGCATGAGAGATGAAGTTTGGCCATCCTGGTCTCCAAGGAGCACTCTGGCTGCACTTCTTCCAAAACAGATCTATTGGTTCTTTTGGCAGCCCATGACATTTTCAATATTCTCCTCCAACACCATAACTCAAAAACATCAATTCTTCTACAGTCTTCCTTATTCACATAGATCATTTAATTTCTGGGTACCTTAGATTCTTCTGAGCCACCATTTGTCATCATCAAGAACTTGACTAGAAAAGACCTTAAACACAACTCACTATCTTCAATGGCACTGATCCCTCCAGAGATCCCAATCCTGCTCAGCCAGTGGGTGGAGCCCATGATCATGTGGCTGGAGAGCAGGGCCACTACTGGTCTGTACTTCTAGCTCTGGTTCTCAATGGGGTGTAATGTGGTCTAGTGGAGACCTCAGTTTTGGGGCAAAATCCCAGTTCCACCACTGACTTGTCATATGACCATCCCTGAGGCTCTAGTACCAGAGGAAATGGGGCTCTTTTACCTACCTTTGGTTGTAGCCGCTCTCCCTCTACCAGGAACTCAGCACTGCCCTTAGACACAGAGGCCAGCCTTTGTACCAGTCTATGGCAGACATTGGGTCCAATTCCAAAGCTATAGCATCTGTGGGAAGGGGAGAAGAGAGGCTAATACTTCCATTCCTTTCTGCCATCTTTGGCCCTTAATGGGGAAAGGGACAGAATATGATCTATCTGATTTATCTGACAGTTGGGCATATCTTCAGGCAGAGAGCAAGGCCAAAGGAAGGGGTACTCAGATCCACACATATACAGCCCACAAGGTTCCTATACCAATCAGAGTCAAAAGCAGCCAACAGGACTTCCTCTTCCTAGGCTACTGCAGGCTACTCTTCAAGGGATGTAAGCAGAGGCATGGGCAACTTGTCCATCCTCAACATCTGATGGGAAAAGGCAAACTCAGGTCCACCCACACCATTCTGAAAACAAAATACTATAAGAATTGTGGGGCTTCTCTCTAGCATTTTCCACATGTTGCTCTGGTTCTGGTACCCACAGCCCGGGGCAGCCCAGGATGACTGAACCCAGGTCTGTCAGCCCAGGCTAACCTGGTGGAGAAGGCATGGTTGCGCACCAGTTCCAGCACCTTCCCGGTGTTGTTGGTGGCACCATCTGTGATCACGAAGAGGAGCCGTGGGTGGCCCTGGTGCACTGGCTGCCGGATGATCCACTTAAGAGGGGCCAGGATGTTGGTGCCACCCATGTCAGCCCGCATTTTCTGGATGTTATCGCACGCTATAGCCAAGTTCTCCTGTAGGGAAAGGGTCACAGGAAGGGCAGAGTTCAGAGAGTCACCATAAGAGGAAGAGACTCTAAGCTTCCTGGAGGACAAGTTCTTTGTTTACTCATCTCAGTGAAGTTGACTTATGTTCCCAATTTTGTCTCTGCCCCACCCCCAAAACAGGAGGTACTCACTTATTTTGTGTGATCGTACCTAATAACATTCCCCTACAAATGCCTGAAATTCCCCATTGACGGTATATCAACATACCATTGTCCTTTCTGGGTTCATCTTAAAAAATATATAAGCACCCCTGGAAAAGGTTTCACATTAAACCCCTGATTCCTCAGCACCAATCATGTTTCCTTACCTGATGAGGGAGGCAGGTAGGTAGTAGAATACTAGACTAGGAATCTTAAGACTGGAGTGCGAATCCTGAATCTGGCACTAACTCCTTATGATATTTTGAGGAAATCACTGCCCTTCAAATCCCTTCCTTCCTGAGCCAATACTGTGGGACCCAACTGGCCAAGGATTACTGGCACTGGACGGACATTATTGTAGCAAGGATAGATTCTCAATGATTATTAGATGTTCTGCTCCTGACCCAACATCCATCACTGTTGTTGTGGTTGTTAAGTACTGTTGAGCTGGTTCCAACTCATAGTAACCTTGTATAGCATTTCTGAGGAGTGGCTGATGGGTTTGAACCGCCAACCTTGTGGTTCAAAAGGACCCTTTGACCCAGTGCTTACCCTACAGCACCACACTAGGACACATCTTTTGTACCAGCAAACCTAGGAATTTATTCCAAGGGAATAATTCAGGATATATACAGAAATTCTGCTATGAAGATGACTTAATAGAAAAACAAACTGGAAATAACCTAAATGTCCAACCAAAAAGCAAATCAACCAAACAGAAAACACCCCAAACCCAGAGCCATTGAGCAGATTCTGAATCACAGCAACTCTATATGGGGTTTTAAGGCTGTAGATCTTTATGGAAGCAGAAAGCCTCATCGTTCTCTACAGGAGCAACTGGTGTGTTTCAACTACTGACCTTGAAGTTAGCAGTTCAGTGCTTGTCCTACAATCCATAAACAAACCACTATCTAGTCTATAATAAAGAGATAGGTAGTCACTATGATTATACAATTATTTTGCAGATAAATACTTACTGGCATTGAAATATGTTTCTAATAGACTATTGTGTTAGAAAAGTAGGATACAGAACAGTATATACAACCTAATCCTACTTTCATTGAAACTGTGAGTGAATGTTTAGAGACATGTCTGCAGTGATTTTTTTTTTTTTTTCTTTTCTTTTTAATTTCCTTGACTGATGTAATCATGGAATATTTTTCTCTTTTTGATTACCTGGATTTAAAAACATGGGAACAATCAACATATATTATTTTTGTAACTTGAAAACCCATAAAGTTATTTTCAATGGATAAATTGTTCACTCTCTCTTTCTTTCCTTCCTCCCATCCACTCTGGACAGGATGCTCCCATTTTAATTATGCTGCTGGGGCCACGGCCTTCTTGTTCCAAATTGTAGCTTGAGAATTGTGAGTTGCGTTCTTTACCCACTTTTACCCATGTACCCACCTTTCCCCTCCCCACCACTTCCCATTTATCCCCTTAGATTAATTTTACTCAAACATAGCACTTTCATGAAGCAGAAGCTTAGGTGAGTGGCAAACCTAGCCTATGCCCTCCCTCCTCCTCCTTCTAGTACCTTCTCTCTGTGCATTCACATACTTTACTCAACATATTCTTTTATTTTATGTGTGTGTGAGGGGAGGGTATCAGAAGGCCTAGATGTCAGAAAACTGCCTAAACAAAAAGCATCTCTTCATTTCTGGGTCTTTACACAGGATCTGGGTTTGATTTGATTGGATGCTTCTGAGGCAGGTCCCAGGGTGACCTCTTCTTCCTTTCTTTCTTCTGATTTTCATCACCCATCCCCTTCTGGTCTCAGCCTTCTTTACCTCCTTACTCCTCCTTACCTCGTTGTAGGTCTGACTGGAAGGGAAGAGAGTCTTAAATGTGGATCCAAACCCAATGACATTGAAGAGACAGGCTGGCAAGAGGCTCTTGAGAGCTACCAGCATGGCATCCTGCAGGTGAGAAAGTGATTTTGGGGATTAGGGAAGTGAGGAGGGGTTACTATCCTGTTACCACCTTGTTGCTACATACCAGATTTCTTATTCCAGAACAGAAACAGCCTCTAATAGGCCTTTGCCTTGTCTGTATCCAGTAATCCCTTCTCCTAAAGATCAAGAAATTTGCTGACACTGACCAAGGGCTGGACTAAAGCCATCATCATAAAACTTCTCATCCATGCAGCAGGTCTGACTTCTGAAAGCCAGGTGATTATGGCTTCCAGTACCTTCTCATCTCTTGCTGACCTTGAAAGTTAGGAGAACACCCGTTCTCTTTTGCCAAAACAAAATTGACATCCAAATTGACATCCAAGGGAGGAACATTTTCTGGCCCAGGCCACACAGTTGATGGAACAGACTCCTGGTTCTTATTCAGGACCTTTTGCATCAGGTGCAAACTATCATTACCTAGGGAAAAATTTCTTAGGGACAGTCTCTTTAGCGCATATCTGTTCAGTGTATAGTATGTGTTTTACATGTGTTACCTCATATAATCTTCACAATTACCCGTTGAGGCAGAAACAATGTTATCCCCATCTTATAGAAGAGAAAACTGAGTCACACAGAGGTGGAGTGATTTGTTGGTGGGCATCCAGATAGTAAATGGTAGAGCTAAGACTCAAAGTTGTGTCACTTTGTTTCCAAAGCCTGTGAATATTAAAGTCTTAACCCATTTAACTATGAATCTCCAGAAGATCTTGACAAAGGTATAAGAAAAGAAAGAATGACAAAGAAGGCTGATAGTAGAAGTAGAATGATAATGATGGTGATGTTAATATGATACACTGATAAATAATAGACATTTACTATGTTCCAGATACTGTGCTGCTGTTTGTTGTTGTTGTTAAGTACCATCGTGTCAGTTCTGACCCATAACGACCCTGTATAGGGTTTCCAAGGAGCAGCTCTCTTATTTAGGTGATTTGAACCACCTACCTTATGGTTCAAATCAACCTTGCAGTCTAGCTCATTAACCCACAGTGCCACACCATGACTCCGTAGATACTGTGCTGTTGTTGTTATGATGTACCATGGAGTTGGTTCCGACTCATAGAGATCCTGTACAGGGTTTCTGAGGCTGTAAATCTTTACAGGAGCAGACAGCCTCATCTTTCTCCTACAGATACTGTGCTAAGCACTTTATATTTATAATATCATTTCATGTCTATAGTATGTATGAGGGGGCTTCAAATATTTGTGGAAAAATTCGGTTATCACTTAATTTCATTTTCTACAAACTGTTTGAAGCCCCCTCATGTGATAGCATTGTGGTTACAGAAATATGATTTGCAGTTAAATAAATCTGGATTTGAATGTTACCTCTTACATTACTTACTTGACTTTGATCTCTGAGCCTCAGCTTGTCACATAGTAAACATTCAGCAAATGGCTATTCTAACCAGCCTAATGAAGATTGCACCTCAGTTTTCTCATCTATAAAATGGGGATAATAATGTGCCTGCCTCAAAGGGGTATTGTGACGCTTACATGAGGTAATGTGTATAAAGTACATTGTATCAATATTTTCACCCCATTTTATGGATAAGGAAACTGAGACTCAGAAAGGTTAAGGGATTGTGCTGTTCACAAAACCTAAGAATAGGACCAAGGCTTCCAAAACCTGTAATTTTTATTCATGCCAGCTCTGCCTTGACACAGACATCAGAAAAGCATCACTTCAGGGTAACAAATTGTTGTAATCTAGAGTCTAGAAGGAAATGGCTGTAAGAGGAGCCTGGACATTTCACACTTCCAAACTTCACAGAACCCCAGACTCTTTCCCCACCTGCCACTGTAAACATTAACTAACATGTTTGCTTGGTCTCTTTTTATTGCTTGTGTATCAATATATTTTTCTCTCTTTCCAAAATCAATGTCAATTAAGTTTTTCATTAGCCACTAATGTCTATTCCTACTAGCAGGGGACTCTGCTGATCCATACAGATTGTCACTGCTCACATACACTAGAATTTTTAAAGCCATGTTTTTGGCAGCAAGGTGGCAGTTGAAGAATAAGACCGACTGCAGGAAGTGAAATTGTCTGAACTTTGCCCTTTGGCACAGACTGTTTGGATTTTGATTTACTCGCACTTCCATAAGCTTAGTTTTCCTTAAATCTTGAACCCAATGGGCAGTAATTAATGACCCAAGAAACCCCTGGTGGCTTCATTGTCTGTGGGAAAAGGAGTATGTGGCCTGAATAATTTTGGTGCTTCTCTATAAAAGGGGACATGTTTACCAGAATGGAATGTGCCAATGCAAAGCCGTTTGTCAAAGGGTGACCTTGAGCTTCGTGAGCTGAACTGAAAAAGAGGAAGAGAGACTCCAAGAAGAAAGTAGACTGAGAGGGTACCCAGAGAGAGTTATTATCAGAGAATTCTGGAATGGAAGGGTTGGGGAGGTCTTTAGTTCAGGAAATGAATTTCCACTGATAAAGCAACTCCGTTCAATTGGTAGTAACTTCTGGAAACAGTGAGATGAGAAGGATATAGAGAATGAATGCAGGTTCAGGAAGAAAATAAAATGTCATAATCAATTATTGATGTCTGCCTGGGCTTGGGAGAGGGGAGTAAAGCAACATGTGACATGCATTTGCCCTCCCTGAATTAATCCTTCCTTCTCATTTTACATAAGGGACAAAGGAGGCTCAGATTTGAGAATCAACATGTCTAAAGTCATTTAGCAAGCTAGTGGCAGAATTGGTTCTAAAACCCAGATCTCTTATTTCTCAGACACTGTTTTTTTTTCTACTGTGCCATGCATAGTGCTATGGCAGGAATGATATAATTAGAAAGGAGAGTTTTTCTTAGTGGAAGAGCATGTACCACCCTAGTCAGCAAATGAGCACTGAGCTAAGAAGCTCTTTCTCCCTCACCAGTCCTATGATATTGGGGAAAGCATTAGCCCCTTGGGGACTCAGCTCTCTTATTTAGAAAATTGCATTGGGAAAATATGTTGCAAAAATACCTTTAAAGTTTTAAAAAGCAAAGACGTCACTTTGATGATTAAAGTGTGCCTTTGAAGTTATGGTCTTTTCAGTCATCTCATAGGCATCTTAAGGCTGGATAGTGTAAAAGGAAGACAGAAGAAGAAGTGATGCATCCAAACTGTGGTGCTGGCAAAGAATATTAAATATAGTGTGGACTGCCAGAAGAACAAATGAATCAATTCTTAGAAGAAATACAACCAGAATGCTCTTTAGAAGCCAGAATGGAGAAACATTGACTTGCTTACTTTGTACATATCATCAGGAAAGACCAATTGCTAGGAAAGGACATCATATTTGGCAAAGCAGAGGGTCAGTGAAAATGAGAGAAACTCTCAGTGAGATAAATTGACAAAATAGTCCCAACAATGAACTCATATATATCAATGATTATGAAGATAGAACAGGACCAGGAAACATTTCATTCTTTCAACATAAGGCCCCCTTGAGTTGGAGAAAACTCAATGGCAACTAACAACCAGGGGTATTTTGGGTTTACGATCCCATTCTGAATTGATAAGACTGTGGAAAGGAATGTAGGTGGCTACACAAGGTTGAGGAGCACAGTGGTCAACCACTCAGTTGTCAACTGAAAGACACAGTCATTACACAGGAGAAAGATGTGGCATTCAGTTTTTGTAAACATTTATAGCCTGTAAACCCTATGGAGTAATTCTATTCAGTCCTATAGAGTTGCTATGAATCAGAATTGACTCCACAGCAATGGGATGGGACACAGAGTTAAAGTATGGTTCAGCACCTCAGAAGCTTGGACAGCTCCCCAATGCCTTTGTTGAGGAGTAGAGGTGGGAGAGGCAGTCCTGGTGTGATGCCTTAGGATAAGCACTCAATCTCAAGATTGCTTTGAACTGCAAGGTCGGTGGTTCAAACTTACCAGCAGCTCCTCAGGAACACTATACAGGGCTGTTATGAATTGGAACTAACTCTAGAGCACTTAACAACAATAATAGAGGTGGGAGAAGGTACCAAGTCCTGCATCCCTATGCCAAGTGGCCTAAGGTCTCATAAATGGTTCTTTTGTGTATTTCAAAACAAAAACTAGCCTGAGAAGTAAGTCTGAGAAGGATGGCATCACTGAGCTAGTCATTTAACTCCTTTTCTTGATGATCCTTTCGCCCTGGAAAGAAGAGCTTCCTCTAGGTGCAAACTAGGGGAAGGGATGAAATTTTAGGTTACAGCAGTGCCCTTCTCCCTTCTTTCATCCCTGTTCTTCGAGTTATGATCCTTGACCCAGCTCAATACACAGTAACAGAGGGCCTTTGATACATAAGCACAGAGGTAGGCCCCATAGGGAGAGAGAGATAAGAAACATCTGGTCTTTTCCTTGAATGAATTCATAACTCTAGAGAAGGAGACAGTTATCTGCACAACTAAAAATACGAGAGATGGATAGTGGCATAATCGAGGCTAATAATCTGCAGATGATGAAACTCTCCTGGATGTGTGTGTGTGTGTGTGTGTGTGTAGGGTTGTAATCACTCTCTTACCCTCCTGCAGAACTCTCCTTAGCATGCAGGCCATGCTCTCAAGCATTCTGATTGGTTAGCATGTATGTATTTCTCATTCCACTGTGAGCTCTTTGAAGGCAAGGACTTTGCTTATATTCTGCTGTCTTTCCAGAAAGGAGGTCTGGTGGCACAGTGAGTTAAACACTGGTATGTTAACCAAAAGATCAGTGATTGAAACCCACCAGCTTTTCTGCAGGAAAAAGATGCAGCAGTAAGTATGCTTCTGTAAAGATTTACAGCCTTGGGAACCCTGTGGAACAGTTCTACTTTGTTTTCTAGGGTTACTATGAGTCCATGGCAGTGGGTTTGGACTTGATCTTTTCAGATGGCCAAGCACACTGCTTTGTATACATTAGGTGTGGGAGAGGGAAGTCTGAGCACTGCCTGCTGCCTTCCTGTGTGTCCCACAAATAGACTTAGGACCAGACGTGACAACTTGGCTTCTTGGATGGGATGAGTATGTGGCCGATCTTTTTTCCTGGGGCACCTTGACCCAAAATACTTCCCATCATAGCTAGTGGGTTATCAGCAGATTCCTCTCATCTTACCTGAGTACAGGTCAACATTCCCAGGAATTGTGTGTGTGTGAGATATATCACCTGGCCAAGTCCATTTCTAGTCCCAGTATGGAGGGAATGAGGTCCCTCTTCTACAAGACAAGAAGAGTATATGCAGACCATCAATCTTGTTTCAGCTGCTGTGGGGAGTGATTCACTAGCAGTGGGGAACTGACATTCAATATTGAAGTTGACTTTACTCGGTTTCAATGTAAGTTGCTCCTCTCAATGCTTGTGGGTAAGCTGTGTCACTCTTGGTTATCTCAGGCCTTGGCTCAACATTATTTTCCCACTGCCATCAAGTTGATTCAGACTCATAGTGACCCTTGTGGTTAGCAGCCCAACTTAACTCACAGCGCCACTATTAGACATTAAAAAAAAATGACCTTAATATCTATTACTGGATTATATATGTTCCTTGATGATGGCACCATGTCTAATTGATATCTAATGTTTGGTGGTGGGAATAGTCAGACAGATACATTTTAAATCTTAGACCATTCTAGCTGTGTGATTTTGAGTAGGTTACTGAAACTCTTAGGATCAATTTCCCACTTGGAAAATGACATCATTAGGACAAATCTCACAGGATTATTTTATGAATTAAGTACCAAACTGTATATGAAATGCCTATTCTGGTATCTGATACACAATAAACTCTTAGCAAATGTTAGTTTTCCGCCTGTCCTTTCTGTATCCTCTCCACTCAGTATCTAGTGAGCTATTTTAGCTAAAGCTGACACTCAGCCAAAGTTTGTAGAATGCCAAGGGCAGCCATTGAAAACTTCATTTCCTGTCAATGGACAACAGTTCTGCCTCTGCTCACAGCTCTTCAGAGTTTTATTTTGGGAACAACTTGAGTTTAGGTGCCTGTTTGAACTGATAAAAAAATTGTTCACTGCTTCATTTTTACCCATGGATAGTCATTGAGGAAATCAATTCAAGTGCAGAAGAAGGATGCTTGGAACAGAAAATGCTGAGGAAGCTGGGACTCTGGAGCTCTGGACTCTGAGTCTGTTAAGGGCTGACTGTGTCTCAAAAACATATGCTAAAGTTCTAAACCTGGGTGCCTGTAAATGTGATCTTGTTTGGAAATCAGACCTTTGAAGATGTTATTTGGTTAACATAAGACCATAGTAAGAATAAGATGGGTTCTAATTCAATCGGAGTAATGTCTTTAGAAATGAGCAGAGAAGACACAAAGACAGAGGGAAAATGGTCACACAACAGAGTTAATGCTATAGTTGCAAGCCAAGGAGCACCTGGGACTATCAGAAACTGGAATATACAACTGGAAAATACAGGATCTTTATTTAGAGTCTTCAGAGAGAACATGGCCCTGCCAATACTCTGAATTTGGACTATTGGCCTCAAGAACTATGAATTAGTATGTTTCTGTTGTTTAAAGCTACCCACTGTGTGGTGCTTTGTTATGGAAACCCTAGGAATTTATGCAATAACTGAAAACTGGGTTGGTGTAATAGCTGAAAAGATGTACTTGAACATACTGATGATTGTGAGATGGTGATGTTGTACCTGTTTGTCCTGAGTCAGGGTTGACTTGATGACAGCTAGCAACAAACAGGAAACTACTGCAGAGTTCTCTTAGCAGGTACCTTGACATAGAGGATGTTGGTCCCACTCATGCTGCCACTCCTGTCAATGAGGAAGATGAACTCCCCGTGAGTCTTTCTCAGGTTCGGTTGGACTGAGTGAAGGTCAGGACAGAAGTTGAGCATGATGACTGAGTGGTGGGGAATGTCCTTGTGGAGACGTTTCCGTATGATTTCTGTCTGGAGGAGAAAGGAACACCCTCTCACTTGGGCAATCAAGGAGTCCAGGGCTACTACTAGGGGCGACATGGTGGTCCCACATAGATCATCAAATATGATCAAGATTGACTCATCTTCTGCACAAAAGACTTTCAGCTGACCACACCTGACTTCCAAGAAGTTCACAGAGTGCAATGGTAGACCTGGGATTTGAAGGCAGAAAGACCCAGGTTTGAATCCCAGCTCTGTCACCATCCAGCTGTGTGATCTTGGTCAAATACCTTTTTTTGTTCTGTTTCTTATCACTTCTCAAGGTGGATGTGAGGATGACCTGACTTAGCACATAGAAAGGAAGCCACTGGCACACTTGCAAGTCATCAGTTAAGTAGTGGTCTCTTTCATTTTCACCAACCAGTCCCAGTTGTCTTTGGGCTGGCCCCTTGTCATGGTAACTCCATGTGTGTCAGAGTAGAATTGTGTTCCATAGGATTTTCAATGGCTGACTTTTTGAAAGTAGATCATCAGGTCATTCTTGCTAGGTTCCTCTGGGTAGACCCAAACCTCCAAATTTTGGTTAGTAGTTGAGTGTCTTAACTCCTTGCACAAACTAGGGACTCCTTCACACTCACACTGACTGTATAAACACTGGTTCACCGTGGTGGTGAGTTTTGTTTCCCTGACTTACTGATTCTCTTCCATGGATCAATTCCTACTCATTCTTCAACTTTTACCTATTTGTGAAGTCTGTCCTAGTCTCCCAGTTGAATTTAATTACTTTGTTTCCTTATCCATGAAAGAAGGTTTAGAGTACAGGCCTCACCAAATTGCTGTGTGGATTAAATGCTGTCCACGTTCTGCCTTCAAATCCCAGGTCTGCCACTGCACCCTGTGAACATCTTGGGAGTCAGTTACAGTCAACTGGAAGTTGTTTTGTAAGGTTTTTATTGTGGGTTGAATGAAAGTCTACAAGGCAGATCATCAGTTTTACATTCAACAAATCACACACCTTGTTTCATTACAATGATTATAATCCCCTCCATGTACCATCAGTTAACAGTATTTCTCTTTATTCACTTTAGCACTTTTTTTTTTTTTTTTAAACACTCAAGCATATACAATAATTGACACTACCAAAGGGCATATTCTGCAAGTCTGCCTCTTTACCATCAGCTCTTAGTCCCTCTCTTCCCATGAATCTAGAGTCCTCAGCTGCTCCCTCTATCCATGTCCCCATCTGTGCCTCCATCTCTGGTATCACTGCTTCTCTGGATAAAGACTCAGATTCTGCTTGTGTCTCCCTTGATGGTCCTAGGGTCCTTTGTTTCTGGACTGTAAGATTAAGTATTCCCCTGTTTTTGTTACAAAACTTCTACCTTTACAATTGAGAGAGTCGCAATTAGTCATGATAACAATTACTCATTATTGAATCATAAGAATCTTATCCTCATCTCCTCTGACCAGACCCATCCAGAGAAGATGAAAACTACTCAGAGGTGACTCTTTCTCCTCACCCGCTACATTATTAAACTAAGCTCCCCCTTGAAACCTTTTAAGCCAGTCACTTCATGTCTTTATTGCCCCCTCATTTTAGGTAGCCTATGTCCAAGTTGCCCATCCCTATCTGCCCTGTGTATAGAGGGCATAGCATTGATACTTAATGTGAAGACTCCTTCCCTCTCTGTTGGTATTTAGAGTTACTAGCTCCATGAGTATAAGCCAAGTTCACCAAACTGAAGCAATTTATCCTACAATTCCTTTATGAAAAATTGTTTTATTCTTTTTTTTTTTAATCTTCCTCTAGTAGAGTTTTGGAGTCCTGGTGTGGTGCTGTGGGCTAATGCGTCAGACTGCAAAGCCGTTTGCAAGTTCGGTGGTTCAAACTCACCAGCAGCTCCTTGGAAACCCTATACAGGGTCGCTATGGGTTGGAATCGACTCAATGGCACTTAACAGCAACAACAGTAGAGTTCTGATTATCAAGCCATCAAGGCTAGGTCAAATGGGTACTATCTGCAAGTTTGGGTGTTCTTGTGTGCCTCCTGTCACTCCACATCAGCTGGATGCTTCACTCTCAGCTCTAGCCCTCTGTGGCTATGTCATTGTCCATGGGCTCAGGTGTCCCAGGTCTTACCATACTTTGGACCAAACAGCCCCTCCTCTTCTCTCTCACACCTCCAGGTCAATGAGAGTCTATGGAACATGGTTGAACTCAGCCCATTTCTTCATTGCTGCCTTTCCCCCTCTTTCACTCACCAGTAACTGGAAATCTTTTGTGTGGAGGATGAGTCAATCTTGATAATATCTGATGATCTATAAAGTCCACTCCTGAACAGAGACTAATTATAACCAGATCATTACTTCTATTGTCTTTATTGTTATTTGGTTTGGGGCCTTAACAATTCTCAGCTTTTTGTTTATATCTCTGCCTCCACCTCACTTGTGAGCTATTTGAAGGCAGATCTTACCTGGATCTTGCATTTCCAGGACTTACTGTAGGGCTGAGGAGGCCTCATGGAGCAATGGCTAAATATTCAGTTGCTAACAGAAAGTTCATATGTTTGAACTGTGGGAGAAAGACGTGACCGTCTCTTTCCAAAACTATTTACAGCTTAGAAGTGGGAATTGACTATATGACAGTGGATTTGGTTTGGTTTTCGTTGAACAGAGTCTAGTACAGAGAATTCAAAGATTGGAAACAAAGAAGAAGGATCAGTAGTTGGAAAATACAGTCTTGGTGATAGAAATGATGCTAGAGATTACTTGCTATAATTTTGCAAGATCAATGACTTCTTCATTGTAAATACCTTTTTTTTAAAACAACATAAAAGACAACTACACATATGTACCTCACCAGATGGAATACACAGAAATCAAATTGACTACATCTGTAGTCAAATGCTACATGGTAGAAAATTAAGATTAGCAAATGTTAGTTTGCAATTAAGACATGGTAGAAAAGCTCCATATCATCAGCCAAAATGAAGCCAAAGACATACTGTGGAACAGACCATCAATGACTCATGTGCAAGTTCAGACTGAAGCTGAAGAAAATTAAAACAAGTCCATGAGAGCCAAAACATGACCTTGAACATATCCCATCTGAATTTAGGGATCACATCAAGAACTGATGCATTAGACACATAGAGTTGTGGGATGGCATTAAGAATATCATATAGGAAGAAAACAAAAGATCATTAAGAAGACAAGAAAGAAGAAATAAAACAAAATGAATGTCAGAGGAGACTCTGAAACTTGCTCTCCAGTGTAGAGATGCAAAAGCAAATGGAAGAAATGAGGAAGTAAAAGATCTGAATGGAGCATTTCAAAGGGCAGCTTGAGAAGACAGAGTCAATTATTATAATGAAAATCAAAAAAGAAGATCATTCGCAGCATTTCACAAGTTGAAAGAACTGAAGAAAAAAAAATTAAGCCTTGAATAGTAATATTGAAGGATTCTATAGGAAAAATCCACAACTCTTCTGTCAGTTTGTCATACTGTGGTGGCTTGTGTGTTGCTATAATTCAGCAAGCTATGCCCCCAGTATTTTAAATACCAGCAGGGTTACCCATGGTAGACAGGTTTCAGATCAGCTTCCAAACGAAGGAGAAGATAGACTACTTCTGAATGTTTAGTCACTGAAAACCTTATGAATAGCAGTGGAACACTGTCAGATAGCACCAGAATATTGCTTAGTGAAACATGATGAAGAGCACCAGAATATTGTCGATATAGTGACAGAAGATGAGCCTCTCAGGTTGGAAGTCACTCAAAATACGACTGGGGTAGAGCTGCCTCTTCAAAATAAAGTTGACTGTGATGATGTGAATGGAGTAAAGCCTTCAGGACGTTCATTTGCTGATGGGGCACAACTCAAAATGAGGAAAACCAGCTGTAACTATCCATTAATAATCGGAAATGGAATGTACGAAGTATGACTCTAGGAAAATTGGAAATTGTCAAAAAATGAAATGGAACGCATAAATATTGTATCCTAAGCATTAGTAAGCTTAAATGGACTGATATTGGCCATTTTGGATCTGACAATCACATGGTTTATTATGCTGGGAATGACAAATTTAAGAGGAATGGCGTCACATTCATCATTAAAAGGAGCATATCAAGATCTGTCTTGAAGACAACACTGTCTGTGATAGGATAATATCCATACATCTACAAGAAAGACCAGTTAATACCACATTATTCAAATTTTCTCATCAACCACTAAGACCAGTGATAATAAAATTGAAGAATTCTGTCAACTTCTTCAGTCAAAATTGATCAAACATGCAATCAAGATGCATTGATAGTTACTGGTGATTGGAATGCAAAGGTTGGAAAAAAAAGAGGAAGGATCATTCTTTGGAAAATATGGCCTTGGTGATAGAAACAATGCTGGAGATTGCATGATTGAATTTTGTAAGAAAATGACTTGCTCATGGCAAATACCTTTTAAAAACAACACAAAAAGATGGCAATACACATGGACCTTATCAAATGGAATACACAGAAATCAAATTGACTACATCTGCGAAAAGAGATGGCCAAGGGCAGGCTGTGGAACAGATCCTCAATTGCTCATATGCAAGTTCAGGCTGAAGCTGAAGTAAATTGAAATAAGTCTACCAGAGCCAAAATATGATCATGAACATATCCCACCTGAATTTAGAGATCATCTGAAGAATAGATTTGCTGCATTACATACTGAAGACCAAAGACCAGAAGAGTTGTGGGATAACATCAAGAACATTTACAGGAAGAAAGCAAATGGTTATTAATAAGACAAAAAAGAAGGAGAAGATCAAAATGGATCAAAATGGATGTCAGAAGAGACTCTGAAACTTGCTCTTTAGCATAGAGATGCTAAAGCCAATGGAAGAAATGAGGAGGCAAAAGAGCTAAATGGAAAATTTCAAAGAGAGGTTAGGGAAGACAAAGTCAAATATTATAGCAAAATGTGCTAAGACTTGGAGTTAGAAAACCAAAAGGGAAGAACATGTTCAGCATTTCTCAAGCTGAGGGAA